GTAGTAGGCCGGTGCAGATTGCTGGAGTTGTAGCAATCTGCGGCAGAATTTCGGTAGGTAGGGTGTCGCGGTCGATACCGTGATAATACTAAGCTTATTTATTGTCTAGCTATTATTATTTACTACTATAGCCTAGTCTAGTAGTATATTACTGCCCTTATAGTATATAAAAAGGTAGTATTTACCCGTAAAAATAATAAACGGCAGGATTACCTACCTATAAGTATTAATAGCCTTAATTATAGTAGCCTACTTGCGATTGCCTAGTTATATAGCTTTTAGTTAATTCTATTTCTTAGAGCCTGTAATAACTACTCCTATTAAAATAACACCTATCTAGAAGCCGGTTTTATTAAAGTTATAGAAGTTATTATCTATAATACTATACTTTACCTTTATATTATATATAAGCTTAAACTATAGTATAATAATTCTTAGATCTTTATATAGGGCTCTCTAGTAATTATACTTTTAATTAAACCGTGTTTAAAGCTTATTAGTCTGCTTAACAAAGTTATATAGCCAGTTCTTGCCAACCTGGCCGGCACCGCGCTTATTTAGCAGCTTATTGGCCATATCTTATACAGCGCTCAGCCGCGGTGCAAACCCTCTCGAATCCAGGTCAATTATATGTTAAATAACAACTGATTCCTCCAGCTTTGTAAGCTTCTTTGAATTGGGCTCGCAATCGCGTCGGGCGGTTGTTCCGGCGCGTCGTCGTCGTAGGGTTGTTCGGGGGACGTTGTATGTTGCAACAGCGCGTCGCACGCTCTTAAACTGCTTTTTATCGATTGCTGAGATAGCTATGCATATCTGGCCTTCTTTTTGAATTGATTGCGTATTGCGTTGTTGAGGCATGGTGGTTGAAAGTTAACGGAGCGCGTTCCGGTGATGAGGTGGGCCACTCGCTTGGGTGGGCCGCTCGCTTGTGGAGTACGTTACGAGATTTGTACGATCGTCGCACGACAATTGAAGTCTATTCTTCATATAACATTCAGCTTCCCATCCATCTATAATCATCACTATTTCTTTCTTTGAAGTCTACCAACCACTTTACCCGTCACATTAGACTTCTCTCCCTCGCTGTCCGCAAAAGCTACGACTGCACCCAAAGATGGCTCAAACTACTCCATCCTCTCAAAAGAATATCATCATCCTCGGTGGTTCATACGGCGGTATATCTTCTGCTCACTACATCCTCAAACATGTCATTCCTGCCCTGCCCTCGAGTTCTTCCTACCAAGTCATCCTCGTCAGCACCTCCACGCAAGCAATGTGCCGCCCTGCCTGCCCACGCGCCCTAATCTCAGACGATTTCTTCGACCAGCAGAAACTCTTCGTCGGCATCACAAAAGGCTTTGAGCAGTATCCAACCGACACTTTCCGCTTCGTCCACGGCACCGCCACATCCCTCGACCACACATCCCGCACCGTTTCCGTCCGCGTAGCAGCAGACAACTCATCTGAGTCCTTCGCCTATCACGCTCTCGTCATCGCCACTGGTGCATCGACTCCATCGCCTCTTTTTGGGCTGAACCATGGCGAATCATTCCTGCGGGAAAGCTGGGCCGCATTCCGCAAAGCCCTTCCCACCGCCAAGACCATCATCATCGCTGGTGGCGGTCCCGCCGGCGTCGAGACCGCTGGCGAACTGGGCGAGTATCTCAATGGTCGTGCGAGGTGGTTCAGCTCCAAGCTTGCAAATCCAAAAGTTGCCATCACAGTCGTAACAGCCGACTCGAAGATCCTGCCTGCACTTCGGGCTAGCATCGCAGCGAAAGCGGAAGCGCAGCTCGCGAAAGTGGGCGTGACTGTGATTAAGAACGCGCGTGTCACGAACGCGGTCCCAATTGGCGCGGCGGCAGGCGCAGACAGCGTGAGCAAGACAACGGTCACGCTCTCAGATGGGAAGACGATGGAGGCGGATCTTTACATCCCTGCGACAGGGTTGATCCCGAACACTACTTTCGTCCCCAAGGAGCTTCTCACGTCCAACGAGCGCGTGGAGACGAGTTCATCTACGCTGCGCGTCGAGAAAGCTGGCTCACGCGTCTATGCCGTTGGTGATGTTTCATCCGCCGCGCGCCCAGCTATCCACATCCTGATGGAAGCCATTCCGGTCCTCTGCGCGAATTTGAAGCGTGATTTACTCCTGGATACTGGGAAGGCGGAGAGCGAAGTTGGTGCGGAGAGAACTTTCAAGGAAGACACGAGCGAAACGCAGATGGTGGCTATTGGGACGAAAAAGGGTGTTGGGGCTGCCATGGGGTGGCAACTACCGAGTTTCATGGTGTGGTTGATCAAAGGGAGAGATTACTGGTTATGGACGACTGGGAATCTGTGGAGTGGAAAGCAATGGGCTAAGGAAACTTGATGGACCGAAATTTGGAAGTCCTTGAACACTATCATAGCCGCACCGAGTCTTTGATGGTGGATAAAATCACTCGATCTGGGCTCGGGACTTGAGAGGAAAGTGATACTGTGTCGTGTACGGCTGTGGTAATAAGAGTACGTACGAGGAGACGAGAGAGGGCGAGAGCTCACGGGTTCTTTTCAAAATTTCACGCGTTTTCGTCTTTCTGTTGGTCTCTTCATTTCTATTCATCTTATCACTTAAAGTGATCGGTCCAGGGCTACTACTCTTCGATTTCCACGACGGGCCCTCGCCAGTAAGACCTGAGACATATAATATTGTTCTACGGCAGATGCGTAGTATTGAACAACCTATTCCCAGTATCGGTAACCCCGCTACCTGTATACTTGTTCTGCGAAACTCGTAGCGCCACCAAGCTGATTCTGCCATGAACACTCAGCCTACACTTCAGACTCCCCACATCTTCGGAGACGGCGTCCGCTTGGACCACTCCCGCCATAATGACTATGCGAACAGTAGCATGCAGCTCTCGGATTCGCTCAACAAATTTCATTATAGAGTTCCCACTATTGATGACTGAGTCCACCAGCACAACGGTGACTTGGTCTTCCAGATTTTCTAGCTTGACGTCTTGGGCCTCCTTAGCATGCAGGAATCTCGCCTTTGGAAAAGCGTCATTGACACCGAAAGCCATGGGCTCACCGCCGCGCATCAGCGGCACGATCAGTGTCTGCGTCTCGTGGTAGAGGCGGGATCCAGTCGTCTGGTTTCCTTGGACGTGCGGGATGGGGCATTCTTCCACGCCAACCAGGTCCGAAAGGAACTCAGTGGCGAGGTACCAACCAACGCACCGATGGGCTTCTCGAAGAGCAGGTCCAGAGATGCTGGCATCCCTGGTCTGGGTCATTAAAAGCTTTGCGGCGGTCCTGTTAGTGGCGTGGATTATTTCGACAGCGGACTTGGACGGCCGGAGGTTGATGGAATCGATGAACTCTAGTGAAGTGATTTGGAATAGAGGTAGCTTCTTGATGTCCAATCTGGGTGGCGCGGTGCTTGGTAAGACAACCTGGCGGGCCATCAGACCATCCTCATCGATGGCAGTCCGCAAGGCCTCGTCCATTGTTTTACTTCTCCTCTTCTCCTCTCCAACAACCACCACAGCTTCATCTGCCGCTTGAAGCATAGGAATGTCCATCGGACTATCTCCGAAGGCCCAGACCTTAGTCAAACCCTTACTGGACGTCTGCGATCGCAAACGGGATACTACGGCGGCCTTCACCGCAGGTGTCACGACGTAGCCGTTAGAAAGCCGGCCTCCACCGACCACTTTGACAGTATCCGATAGGCCCTCCCTTTTCAACAGCTCTTCCCAAACACGACGGAGGCCGCAGCTAACCACCACTGCGCCGACGTGATCTTGTCCTGCCATGGCGTGCAGCAGGGACACGAATTCCGGGTACATAGTTACCCCTAACGCTACGTCACGACATATAACATCGAATAAATGCTCGTCCACAGCTTCCTGGTAAAGCAAGGTCGCTTGACGGAAGGCAGTATACGAGTATCCCATGGAGCTACTGAACAGTGTCCTCAGTGGACACTGCGTCGCGCTCTCACGCCTCATCTGGAAGAGCTTCTCATAGAACAATGACCCCGTATCTTGCGGCGCCAGAGTCCGGTCCCCATCGATGACTAGCACACTCCTCGGCGTCCCGCCAGGGAACTGAGTCTCCATCACCTCGTCAATAACGCCTTCCACAACGGTTGTATTGTACGCCTCGCTATGCGCTTGGAAGTCTTTGATCAGCTGTGCTACATGCTCTAGCACGTTCTCCTGCCTCTCGAGCCGCGCAAACAAAATCTCATGCTTTCGGCAAAGATCCCTCAGCTGCTTCATCTCCGCGCCCTGCCACTTCCGCAGATGCTCGACGGAAGATCGCGGCCGCTCTCTTGCCGTATCCGCCTCCTGCCGCGCCTTCACAACCGCCGGCGGGACATCCAGGTAGATGATATGTGTGTAGGTGTTGAGGTCGTCCTTCGTGCAGCAATACTGCGGCCCCTTGTTCTCTGTCCAGAACATGTAATGGCCCGCTACGATCCCGGCTTTGCCCCTCTCGGCACACAGTCCGCGGATTCTGTCGATGGCTTTCTTGCGGTAGTCCGTCTTTGCTATTGGGGAGAGCGTGTGGAACGCGGCCAGGCCGCCTGGAACGACCGAAGCGATGGATTGGGAGCCGTCGAAGAAGGAGAAGTGGGAAGGGTCGAGGTGCTGCTCGAGATAGTTCAGTAGATGCGTTTTACCGGCGCCGGGGAGGCCGTAGATTCCGATGATTGTTGGTCTAGTAGTAGTAGTGGTGGAAGAAGACGACGCATCCGAAAGGTTGGCTGCTCGGGGATCTGACGGTGCAAATGGGCTTGAAGAGGCTGTTGGTGCGCCCGAGGATTTGGTGGACATGATTAAAGCACTTGTTCAAGGTTGGGTAAGATGGAGAAGGGCAAAGATTTTGGTCAAGCTTGTTCAAGGCGAGACGCAGGTGCAAAATAGTAGATGGTAAGAAAGCGGATGATCGCTACGAATGGCTTTACTTTCTTACTTTACCTCTTGACTTATACTTGCCTCTTGGTGGGCAAACGAGATACTCGCGGAGGCTCTTGGAAGATGCTTGTTGCTTCGTTTTGTTGACCAGCACGTGTTAATAAGCACTCTGGACAACTTGATTTGTTTTCCTCGGTTTGGAGCGTACAGCGTCCTGTAGAAATATTCGTGAACTATCCTGCCACTGCTTTTAGGGCTTGGAAATGCTTTTCAGATCTGAAGATGAAAGGACTTTCCTGGCTTGAAAAGTCTTATAGCATGCTAGGGTACCTCAGACGGTGGTGCTCCAACAGGATGATGCCTGCATATTCGCTGAAATCCCACCAGCAGTAACACAAGGATATCGACGAATATTTGGTGAGGTTGCGCATGAAAGTCACCCGAACAGATCCGGGCATTCTTCAAGGTTCAGCTATGCTTCCAACCGTGGGGAACCCTCCGAGACATGCGAGATTGTGCAAGAAGTGGCTAAACCCACCTCAACCTACCATTCTAAGATACCCTCCTTCTAGGCGTGTCCATGCCTGTGTAGCACTACGTAGGGTTCTCTGGTACATTAGCAAAGAATGGTTTCTCGCGCCAGGAGCGCCACTGTCTTGATGTAGACTGCCATGGCCACTGCCGCTCACGCGCTGTTTATACAAACTATTTTGCTCAAAGACGTCAGCGGCGGATGTCAACGTGGTATGAACTCTATACTACGAAATACGACACTCCAAATTTGGTGCGCCTGTGCCACTGCTTGAAGCTCTGCACGCCACGACACTAGATGCACCAGCTAGAAAAGAGGACTCTCGACAGACTCGGTCTTAGTGAGATGGCGTGGGAATATTCCAGTTGTGAAGCGAAGTCTCACAAGCGTGTGTCCCATTTCCGACCCACTATAAAAACCTCCGTGCCTCACAGTTGGCTGAGCGCTGAGACAGATTGCTGCCTGGCTGTGCCGCATTTTCCAACTCAATAGTACATACTTCTCCTGGGGACAACTCGTATCATTTACACGCGGCTTCGAGAGACCCTCGCCAACCCTACTACCAAGCACTCGTATTCTCAAGACTAGTCATCTTTTCCATCGATATCGAAGGTTGGAATTCCCCTCGGAGCTCTAGCCAGCGGAGCTTGAACCAGTTTTGCAACTAGTCGTCGATTTGGTGGGGCTCCTCCCATGCCCTAACGGCAACGAAACACACTTAGCGACGGGAGACCGCCCTCTTCCTAGCCATTTCTGTCCTATTTACTCGATTCTCTGTAGATACCTTTTACCGCGATCCGCTCAACCACTACGCCCTACTCCAGTCGTCAGTAAGGGAAACTCCAGGGTTTGCCGATAGACTTGAACTGCCTGTCTTTCATGCCTAGTTAGTCGGCTCGTAAGTGAAGCGACCTTCTCAGCCGTCCTCCGCCGATACGACTCAAATCGATCGAAATCCTTCATACCCTAGGCCCGTTCTCGCGACTACCGGTTTAACTTACGCCACCATCTTCTCATCATGACTAGTAAAAAGAAGTTAGTCACAGCTCTTACAAGGCCTGTTGTATTTACTGACTTCACTAGTGGACTCTGCCGATTTTCAGCCACAGAATGCCCATTCGGGGCCAAATGCAAATTCAATCATGCCAACCCTGCCCATTCATCTCCACGGCAAGCTCGAGGCTTGAGATTGGAGCCCCTGTCTACATCGGAAGCCGAATTGCGCGCTTGGCGACTCAGTATTTCGGATAATCATACCATACCTCCAACCGTGGCAAAGCTTTCCAAGATGTTCCAGCAAGCCTTGAAACTGATTGGATACGATGCTGGGGTCAAGCAAGAGGTCATCAGACATTTTGTGACGGAGGCAGGCTTGCAACGCATCCGACAGGCCGTGGATCAGGAGTACTCACATGGCGCCACTCGACCACCAGTGAATACCGTCTTTGGCGACCAGATACTTCCCTTCTTCATGACAATCACGCGACCAGAAATCATAGAGTCAGCGCTTCTGGAGCAGCATGTGGGAACACTCTTCACATATATCTACGGAATCAACGGCCGACGAACTGCGAAACTTTACGGCCTTGTGCTTGAAGCGCTAGAAAGCTTTATGAAGAGCCCAGAAGGCCAGCCTATTGACATTGAGACCTCATTCACCGTAGCACTCAGCGTCTTAGCCAAGATTGTTGATGTGAATACCCCGGCTCAAGTCAATGATGCACTACACCTCATCATTAAGAGTTTCGAAGATCTCATAAGTAATCATATCAAGGAAACGAAACAAACGGATCTCTTCGATGCAGCAGCGCTACTTGGTCGTATACAGCATTGCCTTGGACTTGGGTCAAATCTACCTGCCGCCACAGTGACCCAACGATTGCAAATCAAAAAAGCCACATTCGTGATGAAGAGATCCGGTCCTGGTGGTCGACACAGCAATGATTTCAAGGACATGACTCAGATCAACATAATGCCTACGTATGATGAGATCATGAGTGCTCGGGCAGAGTATCTTCCTCTTGTAGATCTTGCACAAAACCACCAGCAAGGCTTGGATGGCCTTCTCGACCGACACTTCCGGCTCCTCCGAGAGGACACTGTTGGCCAGCTCAGAGATGCCGTAAAGGTTGGCCTAGAGGGGCTTCAGCAAGGTCGTCCGGCTAATGGTCATTCAAGAAATGGAGCGCGAACGTACACATATCAGAATGTGCAAGTCAACGCACTACTCCCAGATGACCGGGCAGGCTTCAAGTTTGAGGTCTCTTTTGATCAGCCAGCCCGCTCTACTAGCTCGAAGATTCAAAACTCCTCGGCCAAGAGGAAAGAATGGTGGTTACAGTCAAAGCGACTGGAACCAGATGCACTTGTCTGCCTCTTTGATTCGCAGGAAAACATTCTCTTTTGTACCGTCGGCCAGCTGAGCAAACAACATGGTGGGAAAAAGGGCCCCAAACTACGCAGTGACAAGCAAAAAGACAAGATAGCCGAGGAAAATTTCAAGAAACTTTACGGCTCTCCTCAAAGAGCTGCAGTCTCTCTCATCTTAGAGGACGCGACGAATGAAAACATCGGGAAGCTTATCGACCTAAGCAAGCGACCGTCTAAGCAGTCACGAGTTTGCCTTGTGGAATTTCCTGGCGTATTGCTTCCGGCTTTCAAACCCACCCTACTTGCTTTGCAACAAATGAAGAAGAGTGGCAATATTGCTCTCATCCAGCTCCTCGTACCCGTAGCGAGAGGAAACGACGAGACAGTAGCGACTGTTCCGCCTCCCGCTTACGCCTCGAAAACCAGCTTTCGTTTCAACCTGTCATGTCTGATGAGAACCAAAGCAGATCTTTTCTTCACAGTCAATCGACCTTTTGATATCAAGGTCCTCCAAGATGGCTCGCAGCTTGACGATGCACAGGCTACGGCGCTTATTGATGCACTATCCAGGAGTCTTGCTCTCATTCAGGGTCCACCTGGAACTGGAAAGTCCTTTGTTGGAGTGGCATTGATCAAAGTCTTGCTGGCCAACAAGAGGCATGCAACAAGACTGCCTGCCGGCGCTGGTATTGGGCCAATCATTGTTGTCTGCTACACTAACCATGCCTTGGACCAGCTACTCGAACATCTCCATAATGCTGGTATTGAGCAGATCATTCGAATGGGTGGACAGTCCAAATCAGAGATCCTGGAGGAGTGTCTTCTGCGAAATGTTGTCAAGAAAGACTCTAGGACGAAGCATGAGAATTACTCCCTCGCTATGCTACACAAAGAACAGGAAGACAATGACCGGAAGGAGTTCAGTGTGTTGGAACAGATCAATCGTGCTGACTCGCCCACCGCTTTGAAGGACTTCCTGAAGCTCCGCTGGCCTCAACATCATGCCGAGCTCTTCGGTCGGCCTGACGATGAGTGGCAGACGGTGAGATCCAAGGATTCCCAAAAGACTATCCGCGATTGGCTCTCTGGTGGACCCTCCGGTGGCAACACAAAACGAGGGGTCAAAGTTCTCCATAACACTCGCCTCGCCGTCATGTCAAAGCAAGAGCGCTACAGTTTGTTTCACGCCTGGGAAACCAGCCTCCGCAAAGAACTTCACCAACGACTTTCAAAGGCAGTCAGTGCGCATAGATCGATCAAAGAACGGTTTGAAGCTATCACTGAGGAGTCCAACTTGCGCTGCCTTCGTACCGCCAACGTGATCGGTCTGACAACTTCTGGCCTGGCAAAGAACTTAGGCATGCTTCGCAAGCTGAACCCGCGAATTTTGGTTTGTGAGGAAGCTGGGGAAGTTTTAGAAGCCCATTTGCTTACGACATTTTTACCATCTATTCAGCATGCTATCTTGATAGGAGATCACCAGCAACTCCGCCCACAAATCCAAAATCACGACTTGTCCTCAGCCAACCAACGTGGAAAACAGTACTCTCTTGATATATCCCTTTTCGAGAGACTTGTTGAACCATCTTCGGGTATACAACCTCTTCCATACAATACCTTGGAGACACAGCGTCGAATGCACCCTTCAATTTCACGTCTAATCCGCGCGACACTCTATCCAGCGCTCAAGGATGCCAGTACTGTGGAAAGTTATCCGGAAGTGATCGGAATGAAAAAGCGCCTCTTCTGGCTCGACCACATGGAACTAGAAGCCCCTAGACAATCCGAATTCGATACGACATCGCACTGGAACCCCTTCGAGGTGGAGATGACGGCGGCTTTAGTTTCACACCTTGTGAGCCAAGGATCGTATCAACCGGATGAAATAGCTGTTCTCACTCCGTATTTGGGCCAACTGCAGCATCTCCGTGCTGCCTTGAGCAAAGTCGTTGCCATAGTTTTAGGCGAACGCGATTTGGAAGATCTCGAGACCGCCGGGATTGAAACGTTGGACGCTGTCAAGCCACCGATGGCTGCGCCGCAGGCCATCAACAAGACAACTCTACTGAAGGCTTTGAGGATAGCAACAATCGACAATTTTCAAGGCGAAGAGGCCAAGGTCATCGTAATCAGTCTTGTCCGAAGCAATCCGCAAAACAAGTGCGGCTTCCTTAACGCCTCAAACAGGATCAACGTTACGCTCAGCCGCGCGCAACATGGCATGTACATTGTAGGCAATTCCCGCACCGCCAGCTTTGGTGTCCAAATGTGGGCAGACGTTGTGGCCATGCTCACAGCCGACGGCAACATTGGCACAAGCCTTGACCTGCAATGCCCACGTCACCCCGAAACTCCAATATCTGTGACGGTGGCGGACGATTTCTCAAAGGTCTCGCCTGAAGGCGGTTGCAGCCTGAAGTGCGTCGATCAACTCGATTGCGGACACGCGTGCCCTGCCAAATGCCATGCACAAGTCCTCCATAAAGCTGTCCACTGTTTGAAACCATGTCCACGTCCATTGAAAGGCTGCGATCACCCATGTCCGGGCTATTGTGGCGATGCTTGCCCAATAAAGTGTCAAGTGATGGTGCGGGATGCGAGTCGCATTCTGCCATGTGGTCACCAAATCGAGACTCTCCCGTGTTGGCAATCACAGGATCTGAACTTGGTGAATTGCATGGTTCAGATGCAACGAACAGTCCCCGGATGCGAGCATGTAGTCACGATGCCCTGCTATGTGGATGAGTCTAGCGACCAGTACGCTTGCAATGTCCCATGTGGCGCTCATCTGCCCTGTGGACATTCTTGCAGGAACACATGCAAGGCATGCACCGCTCGCAGTCTCGATGGCACTGCTACAGTCTTCGATACTAGACATGTAGCTTGCAAGCAGGTGTGTGACCGATCCTACACCAATTGCGCCCACAGCTGCCGCGGAGCTTGTCATGGCATCGAGCCTTGCGCTCCATGTACCGCGCCTTGCGAAAATTCATGTTCGCACTCCAGATGCGGGAAGTTATGCTCAGAACCATGTCGGCCATGTGCTGAAGAGCGCTGCGCTTCGGGATGTCCCCATTCAAAATGTAGCATGCCGTGCTCGGCACCTTGCAATCACATCCCATGCGACAAGCGTTGTAGCGAAGTGCTGTTGTGTGGCCATCAATGTGAGTGTATTCATGTCATTCCCAGAAGTTCGGCAGTCTAAAATCATACATTTTGGGCCTTGAATGTTTATTTCCCTTTCGGCGCATTCCAAACCTCTCCCCTAAGCATATTGAGCTCGAATGCTAATCAAAGTCAGGTCCATCCATATGCGGAGAGCCATGTCCATTACCTAAATATTGCCAAACCTGCGCAGAAGATGACATCAAGGGGGTAATGGTCGACTTCATCGAAGGCTTGACATATGCAGAAACTGATCTTGATCAAACTCCATGCATATTTCCACCTTGCGGGCACTTTCTCAACGTAGACAGCTCGGACGGTTTAATGTCCATGGGTGATTACTATGCCATGAATGCCGAAGGGAGAATCACCAGCCTCAAATCAGCCGCCTCGGTGCCATTTTCTATCAAGGAGGTGAAGCGCTGTCCTACCTGTCGCGGGTCCTTGCGAAGCATCACTCGCTATGGACGCCTCATTCGCAGGGCTATGATCGACGAAGCCACAAAGCGATTTATTGTCTGGGCACAGTCACAGTACATTCCCCTTGTCCAGAGACTTCACCTGGAACAGGATGCTCTCGCCAAAATGGACTCTAAATTACCGGCAGTGAACTCTGTAGCCAACACTCTGGTCCTCAAAGGCAGTTCAGAGGAACAGATGCAAGTCCTTCGAAAGGAATCTTGCACTCGATACAAGTCCTTCTTACGGTTACGCGCGGACGTCTATACCTACCGACACAATGTTGACGTGGAAGAACAGCCATTCAAGCGCGTCCTCATGCTGGTCCAAAATGCTCGCCGCCGTCAAGGCACGAAAGGCGAATGCGATTCCGACGACAGCTTAGTGCAAACTAGAGCTAGCCTGCTAGCTTTGACATTGCTGCTGCGTTGCGAGCTTGTCATCATGGCTGATTTCATTCGCTGCCGTCTTTCACATGCCGGATTCCAGAAGGGAGATATCAACGTTGACTTCTCTAAAAACAGGGAGTTGTGCCAGAAATTGGTCGTAGAATCGGCCAATTCTTCGAATCGTCTCCAAGAAGCGGAGGGCCACATCTTCTTTGCCCACTATGCCGCGCTGGAACGCCAATGTATATCGTCCCAAGGTGGCACGCAGCTACTGGCAGAAGGACAGTCACACATCGAATCGGCCAAGAAGTTGAAGGATCTGCACAGGACGCAGACAATCGCTGTGCACGACGAAATTGAAGCGGTAGCGCGCATGCTGCGCGATGGCACCTTCTACGAGCCGGTGACGAATGCGGAGATGCGGGCCGTTCTTGCGGCTATGGCGACGGAGTTTTCAGGAACAGGCCACTGGGTGAGTACATACATCTATGGGGAGTCCGAAGCCAATGGGCAAAGCACATGCATTGAAGGCGGTGACGTTGTTTCTTGACGTCTCTAGCTCCTGCTCACATCTTCTACATTCTGACTACTAAATAGTACTACTGTTCCAATAACCACCCGTTCACGATCGGAGAGTGCGGTATGCCGATGGAAGAGGCTCGATGTCCACAATGCGGAGCACAGATAGGAGGACGGGGCCACGTAGCTGTGGAAGGCGTAACACATGCGACTGATCTCGAGCAGCAGTTTGGGCGTTTGGCTGTGTAGAGTTTGGATTACGAGTTTATGCTACATCAAGGCTTCATTTATACCATGTGGCCGGAAGATTGTGATGTTACCATTCGATCGCAAGGCCAAGGTCTAGTATGAGCGATCGCTGGGAGTAGGCCGGATTAGCAAACACCATTCTGGCACCGCTCTAGTACGCTCAATACGAAAAGCGAAAGCGCCATCAGAGTTCCTGTTTGGTGGGAGAGGTATTGACTATGATTGAGTACGATTAGCTTTTGGGAATCGATGACAGCACATGATGAGGCTTCGTGGGAAATCAAACAATCAAACATCCATTGAGATGTATTGATGATCGTAGATGGAGGTGTCGAGTTTTCAGTCACGTCCCGTGCATCATTAGCTCCCTTGAGATATTCATGAATATTTGAAAATGGAATGGTATCATAAGGTATTTACTCTGAACCAACACTACGACAATCTCGTCCAAGAAAACCACTGTCACACCACTCGCCGCTCACCCGCTCCGCACACCCGCTCCGCACACTCACAGCTTTCTTCACAGCCTCAACCCCATATTCAAGATAAGTGCTCAATCTCCGCTTCTGGCCTTTGGCCATCTCAACGTCCTCTTTGTCCTCCATCTCCTTCCTGCTTTCCTGCTGGCTGTCTTTCCGGATCTCCTTCCCACTCTCCCTCAACCACTCCGACCGCAGAACCTCCCCCGCTGTCGGCCTACTCGTAGGATGCGGATCTAAGACCCATTTCAAAAACTCCACATCATCTTCTTGCAAGCCCTTCTCCCTTAAGAAATCCCACTGCCGCCCGGTTGGGTGCTCGCGATCTCTAGCCGGCAGCGCACAGTCAGCGTAGATACTGTATCGAAGCTAGATCGTAGTCGTTAGCCAGCGCATAGCGAATCGACTGTTCCTGCTGCGAGTGGAGGCCGTGACCTGAGTAGAGATCGTCGTAGAGTCCGCGATCGGTGAAGTTGGACTCGTTGGGTGATGGGGTCGGGGGATTGGAGATGGAGGGCGCGCTATCTGTACTATTTGAAGTTTGCAGTGATGGGGGTGCGTTGGAAGGCGGGGGTGCGATATGCGTGTTCGATGGAGCTGCGGGTTCAGGCGTGGGTATACACGACCGTGCTTCGAGGAGATGGCACACTAGCAGTCCCCAGGACCAGATATCCGCTGCGGGCGTGATGCTGTGCCTGAAGTAGACTTTTGGGGCGCGATACGTCAACGGCTGGGCGACGCCTTTGGTCGGTGGTATCACGATCCCCAGATCACCGAGTTTGGTGACGAGGGTAGCTCCGTTTTTGTCTTTGGCCGACGGGTTGAAGCCGCTGAGAAGGATGTTTTCCATTTTGAGGTCTGGGTAAAATTAGCATTGCGCAATGTGATGTATTGGAGGTAGAAGGATAGTATCAGCATAAACCAGCCCCTTCTCATGCACACACACTAGCCCCTCGAGTGTATCCCGCATGATGCTTTTTGATCTCACCCACACCTAACGGCCGCTTCGCACGCGCATCCCATGCTGTCCCTTCTAAAATCTCGAGGACGATACGGGGCGGCTCGCCGTGTTTGGAAGGTGGTATCTGGTCCACTTTTTGCCGGATCGCTGGGTCGTCTTTGAATAGCTCCTGCATTACCATCTCTTGCTGGAAGTTTGGCCATGATGCGGCAGCAGAGTCGTCGGGAGCTGGTTGTTTAATGATGTAGACGGATGATTGTGTCTCGCTATCGACGGCAGTCCAGACGTTGGGTTGTCCGAGAGGAGCGACGAGGAGGTAGTCTTTGTTGTCGCCGCTTAGGGTTTGGCCTTCGTGAAGCTGGTGGGACTGAGGCATGGTTGGCGTTCTTGAAGCTAAAATGTGAAATACTGGGTATAAATGAGCAGTTACAGATTTATGAAACGCGCAGAGGGATAGTGAGATGTAAGACGAAAGGAAACAACCGGATGGACGTCTTCACAGCAGGTCCCCATAATTCTCATGCAGGGCCGTTTACCGGACTGGGATAAGCAGCGTCCCTGATTTGTCTGTGGCGCAGTCATGTGTCTGGTTGGCCTAGGGATTCTTTGTCCTTGTCTTGGTCGGCCCGGTGGCCGTCCAAGTCCACTGATTCGTCTAATCCATTGCCGTCTGTTGAATCTTCATCATGCTGTGGCGCAGTTCGCCCGCGTGGCTGTTTCAGGGCTGATGATCGCTCGTCATACCAAGCCATCGGAATGATGAAGCTGGTGTACTGGCGAGCTCCGCAAAATTGGCCCACGTGAGGCATGACAGGCATTTCTCAACAGCAGCCAAGATCTCGAGGAGCATCCCGAGATGAGTTATGGCCTTTCCTGTTCGTAGAGTGACATACTCCTTCAATGAATGAGGGTCAACAGTCTCAAGTAGAAATAGTGATATGGCAGTCATCGCATATTACGTGGCGCTACATGGAAATACTCGAGAGATATTTTTTTCTTCATGCTTCTTTCAGCTCGCTTTCCGTAGCGTCATAGACTCCTTCTTTGCCTTCGTCCTCTTAATCTCGAGTGTCTCGTCCATCCTTACAAGCGAGGTGCTTCCGACGCAGCCTCAAAACCAATCCAGCGTAGTTCAATGGTTGGAACGCACCCCTCTTGAAGTCGTGGTTTCCTCGGCATAGCTTGTGTGATAGCCGGTGTAACATCAGTGCTCCATTCCCGTCAGTCACTCTATGAGGCGCAGGGTTTACTTGGCTGGATGAAACCCACGTTCGCATCGCGGCGCTGGAAGCAAATGTACCGTTTTTGGCGTTTCGTTTTCACGATAGGATTAAGACGGGTTGCTTGAGCTAAGAGCTGAATATGGGAAGTAAGTGGCGTGCGTGAAATCGACCCAGAGAGCGGGACCTAGAAACTTACGAGGCTCATTGAAGCAAGAAAAAGAAAGCGCGGCAACGCAGAGGGAAGTTCGTAGACAGCTCAAAGAGCAAAAGGTCTATTTCTTAATACCAGTACCCAACCCCAAATTCTATCAATACCTACCTTCATCCCCACATCGTCGCCCCCTTCAAATACAGCGTCCCCAATTCGTTCGCCGCCGTGACATTCGATACCTTCAACTTCGACCACCGCTGCTAGCTGCTACTTCTCCATCCCAAACACCCACTCATTCGACCCATTCGCATACACAAAATTATGCCCTCATACTCAAACATCGTCCCTGGCCCCTGGCATGCGTATAGCACGGCCAACGGGTCCCACGTCGCGCGCGACGTGGTATACCCAATATGCCACCGATAAGCCACAGCCACTGGATCTGTCGCGGGCCCCTCCAGCGGTATCGTTGAGCTCGGCGCCGGAAAAGGTCATGGGCTGGGCTAATTATTGATGACTTGCGTGGTGGCGAGCGGGTTGGAGGAGTAGAAGTTGTATTCAGACCATTATGACGAGTTTGGAGACTTTGGCGGCGATGAGGGCGGGGCCGGGGAGCCGGGAGTAGGCGTCAGCGGTGGAGTTGAGGAGGCCGGATAACTGGACACAGGTAGATTAGCTCCGTCGATGAAGACGGAGGGTGTAGCGTACGTTGTCGAAGAAGCCGACGCTAGCAATTGTGACACTGCCATCCTTTTGCGCCGCCAGGGTTTTCCTATACAAGGCCACCGGATCCCATGCGTCCGTCGCGTTGCCCCATGGTAGTGAGCCGTTGGAGTAGTGGTATGCCACTTTGCTCGCGTACTCGCGGCGCTCGTAAAGCCAGTCGTCGAAGAAGGAATCGTTGGTTATGGGCCGCAGAAGGCCGACCGGGACACCAGTATGGCCATGGTGTCCGGCGATGGCGGAGACGGCTAGGGCGGAGGATTGCGTGTGCACGTTGACGGCGAGGAGGTTGACGTTGGGGAGGGTCGAGGCGAGGAAGAGAGCGGCGGTGTCACTATGGAGGTCGTTAGGGGGGTTAGAGATGTAGCGATGAAGGATGGTCGTACTCAACTACGCTAAATATGTCAGCATCAATGATCAGTTGCGTCGTCTCGTGGTGCGCTCCTCCAGTTACGCTGGCAAGCAGCAGAGTGCTACCAATTGCGATGGTTCTGAGGAGTCTGTAAAGCATGTTGCAACGGTCTCGAGCTCAGCCCATTGACAAGGAAACGTGACGGCATTGAAGCCGCACCGGGATATACATTCACCCCATCTTCTGGGGTGGTCGGAGAGTGGCGAAGAATGATCGCTGTCATGGAGTTGAGAAAGACGTTGCTCTCAGGCCATTGCGGGGTCCGAGCTATGTCCTCTCTAATTCAACTGAGGAATCTTGGGAATGTGCCACGCAGATTAGAATCCGAGATCCCACGAAGACATAGATGGGCATGGTGTTGTATTGTGATCAATCATCCGAGCGTATCAAAAGTACCAAAATCCCTAGCATTTGTTCATATATACCATCATTACAGACGCCGAACAAGATACCGACAAGGGACAGCTCGTTGACCGTCGAGCTGGAATAGATCGACTAGAAGGCCTGGAATACTCCAAACTCCCAACTTCCCTTCAACGAAGGTGATGAAATAACTGTAGTCGACGTGACGTCGACACCACTCAAGCAGCAACCTCAACGACACCCATCCTCTTTCCACCAATCTCCCCATTCCCCTCCAGTGGCAACTCCCAGAAGTTCTTGACAACCGGCGCACCCTCCTTCTTACCATGGCACGGACAGCCCTTAACATCGTTGTACATCTGGGCCATCTCCTGGTTCCCCTTCTCTCCCGTGACCTTCTTCAGCACCTCCGGATCCGGATCGTTGAAGACAGGCTGCATCAGATCATCCAGATCCTCATCTGACGACGAACTGTCATCGTCCGACGGATCTAGTGCGGGTGGTTGCGGCGGCCTCGAACTTCCAGACGGGAATCGCATCAAGCCTAGCCCATCCTCCTCATCGTCTTCGTCAACAGCTTCGTCCTCAGAGCTACTCTCGTCGATTCGTTGCGGCGGTGGTGACCTTCGGGCCCTCTTTTCTGCAGCGAGAGGCGATGGCTTGTGATGTGTTGATTTGACTCCGCCCGCGCCTTTGAACTTGACATCAGAGGAGTGGTCGCCCTTCTCGATTCCTTCCTCGATTTCGACCAGGCGGAGCATCAGATTGTCAAGCACGACGGCGTGGCCGAGCACGAAGCGCCAGTCGCGATCCTTCCGGTCAGGCCGGTTGATGGCCATGTGGAGCTTGCATTGCGCTGTGTGCGCGAGCGTGGTGGTTTCCCTGAGGGACATGGTAGTGGGAGCGAGACGTGGTTCCTGAATGTGTATGTTGACTGAACTGAATTGATTTAGATTGGTGATTTGTGAGCAGTGAAGTTCTGTTAAGATATTGGGATGGGTTTTCAGTAGGTTGTTGAGACTGAAGTTTCCGGCCGAGTGGTAATAGGGCTCGATTGCTTAATTCGGAGTCAGAAGTTCGATTGATGACTATTCAAGCCCATTCTGAAAAGCGCCTGGACTAAGAATGTGTTAAAGAGAGGTTGATTAACAATCACGCTTATGCAGCACTCCGCTAGTCCCGCAGCGATCGACTGGGTTTCTGTAGGTGATGGGTAAAGTGAGGTCAGTGTCACAGGTAGGTTGTTGAGATAGATATGGATGGAGTGAAAGGCTCGGGGATGGAGTGAAAGGCTCGGCGATGGATTGATGCGGGTTCCATCGTGTGGGGTAGTCACGTGGCTAAGACAAAGATCGATGGACTCTTCGACTTTCACCCTGCTGGCTCTTTGTAATATCCAATACACTCTTATACAACAGCCTCCGTGTATAGCGACTAAGGTTCTCGTAGCGATGTGGAGCGGTGGGCATGGTATGGAAGGTCACGTGACACCACTCAAAAATCTAATCTCGAAGTCTCTCCTCGTCTGCCTTCAACACCATTATTACCTAATTGCCAACACAACGTGTCTACTATGCCTCGTACACTGTAGATACGTCATTTTTCTAATATAGGGCCCTATACAGTGTGTCTATCACGGATGAGTCAACTCACTCCGATCTATATCCTCGCGCATATCATTTATTTTCAGCCGTCTACCAGCCTGCCAAATCGACATGGCTCCATCCAATCCATCCATACCCCCTCACTAACAGCCGCCGACATCTGTGTTCGATACCATTCATTCCAAGTTTATATTCGTCACCCATGGACTCTAACCACACTCCAACCGCTGCGGGTATCCGTAGGCTCGCATGAATCCCAAAACTCTTCAAGACCTCCCGGATGAATTGTGCACCATCGTCGTGTGGCACATCCATAAGAGCTCAAAAGTCGGAGAGCTAGAACACCTGGCACTTGTATCCAAGAATTTTGCCAACTCTGTGCAAGAGGTCCTCATTCAAGCTGTTGATATCACACAAGGCCACTCTCCGGGGTGGAGTAATGAACCAGCTCGACTCGCAGTTCTCTTCAATATTCTAGGCTGAAATCTGGGGCTTGCTAGAAAGGTCCGAAGTCTGCGATTGACCCATTTCAAAGTTGGATCGCTGTCGCTAGCTAAGCTCGGCATACGAATTTTACCAGCACTGATAGGACAAGTGCGTTATACAAAGCTTGAGAAAGAGACGAAGCAGATGTGCCTAATTGCAATGGTCAGCGGCAGCGAGTACTTTTATACGGCCGTGGTTGCTACTCTCTTGTCGGTGATTCCGAACTTACAAGGACTTGACTTGGGCGTTGGTAACTCCAAAACGAGTCTCCTAACAACACTTGCTTTGCTCCCTTCAAAGCCAATCTTGGGCTCCCTAAAGGTACTCGAGTTTCATGGCTTCGGGGGCAGAGGATGCTATTTCTCAATCGGATTGGGCTCTTATGCCTCGCTTCTCCATCTTCCCTCCTTACAGAGGCTCCAAATGTGGCACTTTCATCAAACCGAACCGCTGCCTTCATTTGAGAACCGACTCGGGACTCTAGCAGATGGCTTAGCCTCGCTGCCTAGCCGCACTCTTTCTTCGGCTCCGGCGTGTCTTCACTGCATCACGCTCTTGACAGCGCCGCGTCGAAATAGCATACTCGAATTGTGAGGCATGCCGAGTTTCAACGTCCTTCAAGAACAATTAGCACGCGAAATATGCACCTTCTAAACACCCGCATGCGAAAGCTGGAATGTTTCCAGAGCAAACCTCCACCCTATGCCATCCTTTCTCGCACGTGGGAAACGGGGTAGGTGAGCCAACAACGGGGGAGCGAAGGCATCCTCCGGGATAGAGCCTTCTGGCCCTCCACGCACAGCCTCCTCAGGCTCGCAACCAATGCCACTCCGTCTTCATCGCAGGAGAACGACCGCTAAACTTTCCCGACCTACCCCCTGGCTCCCCGCACCCCGCACTTCCCCAACATCAAACCTCCATGCAAACTCAAGTCTGGGGTGCGGGGACATGGATCAGCCCTTTGTGCTCCATATGAATGCCGCTAGTAATGTCCCCACATCCACTCCAACAGGCGAACAGGCATTCACAATCGGTTTTTCGGCTCATAGTCACTGCAACCGGGCAAGGTATCGGCGAAGATTTAAATCAATTTGCGAAGCACAGGTCCGCATTCTTACTTTTGAGCAAGCCCGTCCTATTTATCACCATCAGGCCCTCCTACTTTAGCGTTGCTAGACAGAAGCCTATTTCTCTGAATATTTGAAAGTAGCGACTGAAAATGACTTTTACTGCTCTCCTTCCATGGGCGACCACAAGCCTTTCAAAGGTTGTTTTGATCGTGCCAGTTTTGGTTGTGAGTGTGAAGCAACTGCTCGACAATAGACGTTCTAGCTGATCCTACTCTTAGACAGTCTACTGTATATACCAGATTTCTCTTCATCCCTTGCGACGCCTCCCAGGACCCTTCTCGGCCAAGATTTCTCCTTTGCCGCTGGTTATTCAATGCCGGAAAGCCCGGAGATCGGCTTGGGTTCTAGAGCAGCATGAAAAGCATGGTGCCATCGTGCGGATTGCCCCCAATCACGTTTCTATGACCGACCCAGAGGCTATCAATCAAATATATGGACACAAGACGGGATTTCTGAAAGGTCCATTTTATGAAGATAAGGTTCCTCCCACCAACGCTTCTGGACTCCACAACTGACCCTACCCACCTTTCAATCAAATAGAGCCTGTCTTGTTCAATACACGTGATCTAAGTATCCACCAAAGGAAACGAAAATACGTCAATCCAGCATTCTCAGCAAGACACTTGCAGGCCTTTGAAGAGCACATGACTCCCAGCATCACAAGGCTCGTACAGTTCATGCAAGCATGTGTTGCTGAGGCCAAGTCTTTTGACTTTTGCCGTTGGTGTAGGCCTGCCTTCTTCCCCAACCTTTGATATGTACCTAACTTCGCTAGCAAACTTCTTAGCTTTCGATGTCATTGGGGAGTATGCTTTTGGAAGCCCATTTGGATTCCTGGAATCTGGACGAGACGATTACAACTTGATCCACACGGTCGACACCCGCGGAGAGGTGCTAAACACAATGGGTCATCTGCCTCGCGGGATACGACCGTATATGAAGCATTTTCGCATTGATCCATTCTTTTACAACGGTCTCCGAGCGACGGCGAGTCTAGAGGCCATTGGGCGAACGGCGTTTGGCAAGCGCAAGGCTGATACTTCCACCGCACGTAAAGACTTGATGAGCTTCTTACTCAACGCTAAAGACCCTGATACTGGAGGTCCACTTCCCGACAAGGAGATCCTTGCTGAGGCAATCAGCTTCATTGTTGGCGGCAGTGATACGACAAGCAGCACAATGACCAACTTCATGGACTTTGTTTCTCGAGACCAAAAGCTCCAGGCTGAGATTTTTTCGGAGCTCTTGGACGCCTTCCCAGGGCCGCGAGATCCTGATTGGGTCGCATCAGACGAGGTCTCAGGAAAATTGCGCCTTCTCAACGCCACGCTCAAAGAGGTGATGCGCTTGAGACCAACGAGTTCTACGGGTCTTGAGCGCGTGGTTCCAGAGGGGGGTAGGGAGGTGGCTGGCACATTCATACCGGCAGGTTATTTGGTCAGTGTGCCGACAGTCGCCATCCATCACAACCGCCAAATCTATCGTGTATGTACTCCTGCAACGTTGGTAGCATATGTTCTAATGACTGCGTAGAATCCGGAAAGGCTGGATCCTCAGCGCTGGCTTGCGGAGGATGCTCATGATTTGACGAATTACTTTGTGCCCTTCTCAACAGGACCACGAGCTTGCGTCGGTAGAAAGTAAGCACAGACACATGGTTCTCGATGGGTATGCGCTAATGCTAACAAAACGCAGTTTTGCGTGGATGGAGATGACGAAGACACTTGCAACAATCTTCCGTTTGTTCCGATTCGAGCGTACCATTTCCCAGCCGTCAGAGTCCCGGGAAGGCTTCTTTGTCAAGATCATGGAGTGCAATGTGAGCGTCAGCTTACGACCGTCGGAATGAGAAAGGGATACGTGGAATAGAACTACATGAAATTAAGATTCGTGTTGCCCCCAATGTCTTGCAATTTGAGCCACCGCGAAGATGCAGACCTTTGCGAATTCCTCCACGCGCTGAACTCTGGAATCTCGGGGCCGCGGCGGCTTATGCGTTCGTAGAGAAGGCTTCTCTGGGTAGTTATAATATAGAAGGAAGAAGTCGTTTCTAGTCTTCCTATCACATTCTGCTCTTTTAGAAGTCGTTGGAGGCATTGATGGAGCAATATTACCAATGAATTGAATAAGGTTATTACACACACGATTAGGTTGGTTCGAACTAGCGATTTATTTATTGTCATTATTCTAACCAGAAAGTGGAATGGGTAAGCCAAGTCCAGGCAGCGTTATGTAGAATTATGTATTAATGCGTAAGGAGAGGAGGCAGGAGGCAGTAGCAAGTGAATATTATTGGGATAGAGGAGGAGTATAAGCCTATCTCAAAGTTCCAGCTCCATAAAATATTGAACACTTCAACATGAATATTGGAGTGCTCGGGCCTTTCACGGAGCTGGCTTCTGTATGACGCCACCAAGCCCCCTCAATTCGTCCTAAATCACCGTAGTGAAGTTACGGCAGATGATAAAAGATTCCCTCGCAGAATTCGTCCTAAATCATGGGGTGCATCCCCTTCCCTTGCGCACCCCGCTTCAGGGGCGGGCAATGTTACATAAGTAAGTCCGCCCTTTCCCCGCGCACCTACCCGAGGGCCGTCCTCGATTGCCCCCAGCACGTCCGACGACAGCTCACATCGGCCGGTATCTCTTCCTCATCGTACGCGCCGAGCGATGGATGCAGACGGGAGAAGCAGCATGGGCAGCGGCAGCGGCACCAGCAAAAGGCGGCGCATCGCAATGGCCTGCCAGGCATGTCGCACGCGGAAGTCTCGGGTAATGGCCCCTTCTCTCTCACACCTCACCTCGCTTGGGCATGGCATCAACTGACCGCGTGTGGCTGCGAAGTGTGATGGTCGGCGGCCACAATGCTCAACGTGCGACGAGTTGGATTTTGATTGCATCTACGTGGCGTCCGCAGCATCTTCGAATGTGATCGTAGGGAAACAGTAAGCGTCTGGTATATGTTTGTCTTGCAATTGGTTACAACGGCCAATAGATTTTTTGCTGCACTCGAGCATCGCCTGTCAGATATTGAGCAGAGATTGGACGGCATCAGCAACGGTCACGATACATCGCCGCTGCAGCCGGGTTTCTCTACGAGCCAGGGCAGACAGGCGTGTGTCGCGGACGAAGGGGGCCGTTCCATCTCCAACCGCCGTTCTGGACTGGTCGCAGTCGACGATGTAGACGCACATGATGGTGCCAACGAAGATTCGACAGATGGCATGGGAGCAATCGTCTTTACCGATGAGGAGGATTCCGGCTTTTTTGGTGAACACGAGCAGTAGTGACGCCGTCAATTGAGGAGTCACTGACAAGGCAATAGGCCCTTCATCGAACATCGCTTTCACTCGTCATTTATCTCGAGCGGTAGCCCGGCTGTCATCCACTGACCATACTTATCCAACGCCAGGCACCCACGATGGTGGACTCATGAGAGTGTCTCGACCCCCGTCACCATCAAGAACTCAAGACGGCAGGAGCCGAGGCCATTCAAGATGGCAAACGTTGAATCTCTTCGCTTTACCGCCAGAAGACGAAACCCTTGACCTGGTGCAGCGGTATTTTTCTAATACGGGTTTGTTGTTTCCTTACGTTCACGAAGAAACCTTTCTAGAGACGTACGGGGCCATGAAAAGGACCAACTTTACAAAAGTTCGTAAGACATGGCTGGGGCTCCTGAACATGGTGTTGGCGCTTGCGACCAGCACAACTGTCTCGAACGCAACCACTGCGGAACAGCGGGCAGAAATGTCAGATGTATATTATCAAAGGGCATTGGGTCTGTGTGATAAACACGTCTGGCGAGGAGCAAGCATAGAACTGGGTAAGTGTTCCCCTGCTTGCGGCGCCGTACTGCGAAACCATTCCAAACACCCTAAAATACTTACTATTCTCTTCGTACAGTTCAATATCTTCTCATGATGGGGCAGTATTTGCAAGGAACTCAGAAGTCTACGCAAACTTGGAATATCCATGGACTAGCCGTTAAGGCTGCTCTACAACTCGGGCTGCATTCGGCTGAAGCTAGTAAAAAACTGTCACCTATCGAACAAGAAACCAGTAAACGATTGTGGTATGGTTGTGTCATCTTAGACAGGTGAGTTGTCTAATGTTCGATTGGTATGACTTTAGCTATAGATATTCATATCATCTAGGACACTTAGCATGACCTTTGGTCGGCCTGCAGCAATTCCGGACAGCTATGTCAGATTGGCATTGCCGGTTGATTTTGATCACATCGCTCCAGAAACTTCAGCGGAGGATCCACGAAAGCGGAACAGCACCCTGTTCTTTACCATGACAATGTGCGGAAATATTCAGGTGCTTGCCTAACACGACTGACTTCAAGCAGCACACTTTACAAAGTAATGTGGAACGTGATAGACCTCCTATATGGGGCCAACATTGGCTGTGGAGCATCCGCCAACGTTTTTGAGGTTATGGCATCCCTGTTCAAAATGGAACAGCAGCTTATGGCGTGGGAGCGTTCTCTACCAGCTAACATGGCCCTCCGGAAATCGCAAGAGATTTCATCGGAAGAGGACGATACCGAGCGCTACAGGATCATTCTAACTTTACGTTATCACAACCTCCGTATTCTGATTCACCGTCTTGTGGTGGTTCGGTTCCTCGATACTTGTGGCAAGGCTGACCGTGACGAGCAGGAGCTCGCATTGCTCCGGCAGATCGGGTCGAACAGTGTGCAGATCTGTGTTCACTCATCACTGGAGATCATCTCTATCGTGAGTACTATAGTTCACTCGACTGGTGTGCGCCAAGTCTATCTGGGTGCATGGTGGTTCTCCCTCTATTATGGTGCGCCGCCTAGTCTGCCATCCGTATCAAAGAAATGTCAAGCTAACCGGCATTAGTCTTCAATGCAGCGCTTGTGATATCTGCGTGCATACTAGTCGACCAGAAGACTGGTCTCACTGGCGCTGCTACATCTTTGCCAGATTTGCTAGGCGGAGTCGAGAGACCATTGCAGACAGCAGTTGGCGCCCTGAGGCTTCTTGACAAAGGGAATAGAATGGTGGAAACCTGTGCCGCATTCTTGAATCGCTTGGGCCAAGTTATAATATCACTCGGTAAGTCATTTTGGTGTCTTAACCGCACTTACCAAAACATACTAATGCATCGCACAGCATCGGACTCTTCCACTGGTATGCCGCTACAGTTACCATTTCTAGGGAATGACGACACCCTGTTAAACTCCTATGGTGGGACGCAGGCCGGGAATACAAACCTCCAGTCCCCTCTGGGCATGGATCTTGGCGAGTTCATAATGGAGAGGGATCTAGACTTCTTGAATTACTTTGCCGTCAATCAGCCTCTTTCTAATGCTATTCCACCAGAAGGGGGTCATGGTTAGGAAGCTTCGTTTGTCAATTGCTCCGCACCTGCTAGTACAAATACTTGCAGTATTATTTAGTTTCTTTTCATTAGTGAAGATGCCCAACCTCACTCTCAGCTAAAAATAGCTTGCATTTCAAGTGCGCAACACATGTGTATTATACAGACAATCAATCTAACAATGAAATACAGTCCCATATAACGAATTTTAGAATAGAGATAAAGCATTTGCCATCGCAAGAAACGTGTGACCAAGTACGCCAATGTATCAATCCATATCCACAATCTTTGACGTTTGCAATTTCATATTCGAGCGAAAGGGGCAACCGATGCTCAGATTTTCTGGGCGAGCTGCAAAGTATGGAGCAAAGGCATGATCGAGTTGCTGGAATTCTCTTGCGCGTTCAGCCTTTTGTTCTTTTGGCAGTTGTTCAAGCTCGGGCAGATAAGCTGACTGAGGATCCGGACCAAGTGTTTCCATCACCCATAGCAGACAGCCAAGTGCAAACACTATGATGGCTTTGAGCACAGGGTTCGGTGGGGTGATCCTATGCGCCGCCAACGTCGTAGGCAGACTCAGCGATGTTGGGATCGCCCTCCCGAGCCAGCGCATTGAAGGTGGAAACCAGCGAAAAGCAAAGTGCTCATAGATAGCCGACGCAATGAGGTGGCCCTGTTCGTAACTTGGGCGAGGCGAGTTTTCGAAGTCCTCGCAGTACTTGATGAGGCCGTCCCAGCTGGGAGGCCAGTCGGTCAGAGGCACTCTGCCTTCGGAGTAAAAAAGCTTGGCCATTTCGGACATGAAGATGTAGGAGGCGATTTTGACCTTCTCAGACACGCCACTAAGGCCCAAACGGAGACGCAGACGATGCATAAATATAGCGCTGAATGCCAAAGTATAGACGTAGTCCTCGTTGTGCGAGAAGTCGCCTGGATACTGCTTGGCCCAGTACTCGTGTCTCTTGTTGATCTTCTCTACCGACTTCTGAGTCCTGGGATCGCTTGGACCATAGTACCACCACGTGTCATTACTTGTTGCTGTCTCCTCGACTCGAGCCGTGGCTGCTGCAAACACTTTGCCGCCATCCTCGCGCCATACAGCTCGAGCACCATGCTCTGTGACCACAAAATTTGGAAATACCAGGGCGTAGATCAGGCTGTTGACGAAGTCGTTTCCGCCATAGCTGGCCGACAGTCTGTATATCTCTTCGTAGTCGACGTAAGGGTCCAGGCTCTCAATCCGTTTTTGAATCCAATGATATGATTTTTTAGGGGTCGTCATGATTTCGAGGTGATCTCTTGAAACGAATCAATGTGAGGTTATTGTTGTGGATGAGATAAATCAGTCGTGGAATTTGCTCTTTCTATGTAAAATTCGGACTGCCCGAACGAATTCCAAATCTAGTGCCGGGGAACTATCGGCATCAACAAAACCCACTTCATCTTGTAACACCCCGCGTCACTTACCTAAATATCAAATTGCGGGGACAGCCTTGGATCAGGCAAGATGCGCGGACAGGCATATCCAGGGATGCGGAGGCGCCGGTATTACGCTGGGGGATTCGCGGCAGATAGAGTGGCAGTCCAGAGATACCTATGAACTACCATGTTTTTACTGCAGAGAACGAGAATACATTCTCGACTTCTCCACAATATACACTTCGATGTCTTGGTCATCTATACGATTGTATGGAACTCTGGATCCATTCGTTGTGTTGCTATGCAAGTTCAAACGATCTAAATTGGGTCTCAGCGGACTGCCATTTTATCTGCCGCGAAGCCTGCCACGCCATACAAAGCGACCCCAACCCCAACTGGATCCCGCCACTGAAACCAGGGTTTATCAATTATGAAATGACGCGCGTTGTGAATATCCATGGATACCTAGGCACGCTAGGTATATCACACAACTAACTTGTGGTTTCCAAATAATAAACACGACGCCGCCGCCACCGCCACAGAAGAGCCACTTGTATGGTAAATGGGTTCCGAATGACGATTACTTACATGCACATTAAAGGTACCGTAATCTTCCTACGTTTATTATTGAAGACAGCTCGTCATCTTCGCCAAACTGGCTTCCATTTGCCTCAAGTGTCTCGGGAAGATCTACTAAGGCTTCATCAATAACTACGTTAATCTAGTAACTCTGGACTAGTACTGTGTGAGAACATTGAATCAGCAGTTCAATTCATTATAAAGTATTGTCATCGCGGGCTAATTATAGCATTTTTGAGATTAGCGCGAACACAGCTGTGTCGATAACGAGATGATTTAAAAGTAGTGATATATACGAAGTTGAACCGGAGTCAATGTCCATTTGCCTGATTGCCGTTGACCTTGAGCCTCTCGAATCCATTCTGGCTTTCATCCAAAACGGAACCGAGAGCTGCGTGTCTACGTCCCCAAACTTTGGCTACCTCAGTCTCTGCATTATACCCATATGCCCACCACTGAGTTACCGGATCACTCCATTGATTTGCACTGGAGAGGAAATGCTTCCCTTCTACCTCGGGTCTCATCGCTTCATCTCGTGCCCTCTGCTCTGGGCCATCCGGGAAATGCCAAATATTACCATTCAGAAGACTTGCTTCCTGCATTTGATAACTGCGCTTCATACGTACTTGCTCAAAAACCTCTAGCGCGAGAGGCACCTGAGCACGATGACTGATAAGGCTGAGAGCTTCCCCGAGAGCGGCCCCATCTTCTACTGCCATTGCGGCTCCTTGAGACATATAAGGTACCATGGCATGTGCTGCATCGCCAAGTATCAGCAAGCGATTGGAGGACGCCACCCATTTTGGGAGACCGGTTATGTTCATCAAAGGCCATTTGATAGTCCGTTCGATCATTCGTATAATCTTCACTAGGCTAAAGGGTGTGGAATTAGTTCATGCCTGTAGTGTTTGACCGGCAGAGAATAACGAACCGTGGATCCCAGTCATGAAAGTATTTGTGCATGTCCTCAATGGCAGTGTCTGCTCTCCAAGTCGCTGGGTCTGAACGATCTACGTGCGACAACACCATGTTGAATGATTTTCCGCCAGCAATTGTATAAGTCATGACATGTCTGTCTTCTCCAATCCTGGTAGTAAATCAGTTTTGGTCAGAGTGGAGTCAGGCTGAAGCTTCTACACTCACCATATATTTAGAGACGGCTTTTCCAATAACCACGCAAGTTCCGGATCGGCTTTGATCTTCTCGACATCAACAGTAGCACGATAAGCAGCGAATCCAGTTGCAGTAGGCTTCTTGTCGTTCTCCTTTAGGATTTCTCGTCGAGCAATGGAGTTGATCCCTGCCAGGTATTTAGCATCATAATCTACCGAGCTCTTTTTGCCCAATATCGGAATTACCATCGGCTGCTACAACCAAATCTCCTGTGTACGAGACTCCATTTGCTAGCTGGACAGCCCCAGCATCTGCATTATATGCTTCAACTTTGCACCCCACGTGCACAATAACTCCCAACTTCAATGCACATCTGTATAGAGCATCATGGAAATGCGCTCTATGCACGACGTAGTACGGGGCACCGAAGTTCTCTTGGAAATCTGGCACAAGCTTCGTGTATCCGATTTTCTCGCCATTTTGCCAACGCAGAAAGCTCATACCCTCCGGCTCAGTAACTTTGCTGCCGAAGAAGTCCCCTAACCCCCAACTCAGGAGAAGCCGTGTTGAATTCGATGGTATTTGTATTCCCGCTCCGACCTTTTGGTGCATGTCAGCAGTAGCTCTTTCCACCCAGAGAGAGTACAGGGCTTGCCTCTCCGAGGGCTGGCGCCTGCTCAAGAACAGTTACAGTGTGACCTCGGCGGGATAAAGCAATAGCTGTTGCAAGTCCTCCTAAGCCAGCCCCAACAATGATGATATTTAGCAGGACAGCCGCCCGTGGTACCTTAGCCGAGTCTTGATTTTCGTTTCTTCCATTTTGCGAAGCAGATATATTGTGGTGCCGAAGGAATTGTAGACTTTGTGTAGGGTAGGATGGTTCGAGTATCTTGGGCGCCATTGCGATTCTTTACGGGCAAGCCAAGACGAGGATCTTGTTCATAGACGAGCAAGGCCACAAAAATCAGAAAAGAATTGGTAAATAAGAGAGGAGCAGATGAAAGAGAGGCAGGAGATACTTCAGTAATCAACTCCTCCTGTTTCTATATTCAACTGTTTGTTCTAGAGCGAGTTGTCTAGACTGTAGCACCATATCTGGTCACTTGAAACGGTTTGCACTCGTGCATTCTGGCAGTAAACTTGCCTGATTTTCCCCGGCGACTGTCCGACGATGCCGACATTCTGGACCTTTGGTGCTCCCCCGCGCGCCGCTTCCGATCCTTCCCCGGTGCCTGTCTTCCGTGTTCTTCGGCAGATTCATCGCAGCACATCGCGCCCGAAGTGTTTCGCTGTGCAGGTTGTTAACATCACATGCCAGGGCATCCTCATGGGTCTACAAGGGACGCAGCGAAGAGTGATGACGATCAAGTCGCGACATCGATATCAGAGTTGTGGCACAATAGAAGTATTTCATTGACCCTCGTCGACATCTAGCGGAGTGAAACTCTACGAATTTTACAATCTCCATAATGGCATCTCTCACACAACCCGAAATGGCTAGCCTTCCTATCTCCACTAAGGACCACGACACCCAGGAACTGCTTTCCATCCTTGGGGAGACTCATACGAAGCCGCTTTGGGCCCAAATGACTCGATTAAACCCACCCCTTCCAGATCCCAAAACTATCCCACATGTTTGGAAATATGACGAGATCCGCCCGAACCTCATACGAGCCGGCGAACTGATCACCGAAAAACAGGCGGAGCGACGCGTGCTTATGCTCGTCAATCCTGCTCGAGGTAGACAGCCCTAATTCCCATGTGTATCCCTTCCGCTCTGTAGATTTGACTAAGAAATCGAGCAGATGCACCTTTCACGACCGACACGCTCTATGCTGGCCTCCAGCTTGTCATGCCCAACGAGACTGCGCCCGCCCATCGCCATACCGCTTTTGCAATGCGCTTCATCATTGAAGGGACCGGGGGCTTCACGGCCGTTCATGGCCGACGAATCAAGATGCAGCGTGGAGACGTTATCTTGACGCCAACGTGGAACTGGCACGACCACGGCAAAGACGGCTCAGGCCCCATGATCTGGCTTGATGGACTTGACCTGCCAAACTTTGTCCACTTTCCGGTACATTTTGTGGAGCACTTTGCGCAGCCTCGATACCCCGCTGAGGATATCGATACTTCGAACTCGCCAATCGTCTTCCCCTGGGCAACCATGCGAGCCACGCTTGACGCCGAGGATAAGGACTGGGTCTCGAAGCCATACCTGAAAGCCGATGGCAGCGAAGGTAAGGTCTGTCTGTCTTTTCCAGTTTTACTTGCTAATGCCCTAATCCTATAGTCAGCAAGATCCTAGGTGGCTCAGCAGCACGCCTCGCACCAGGCAAATCTTCGCCTGCAGTTCGAGAGACTTCATCAGCTGTTGTTCACGTTATCGAGGGGAGTGGCCATTCCCAAATTGGAGACAAGGTCATCACTTGGAAGAAAGGCGACACCTTCTGCATCCCAGCTTGGTTTAGATACCAACACTTTGCCGATCAGGGAGAAGATGTCTATCTGTATCGGTTTGACGACAAACCAATGTTGAAGTCGTTGGGATTCTACCGTGCGGATGGTGTGGACCTCGAGTCGCTGGTCTCTGAGTAGGTTATGCTACATTTTATGTATATACTTCGGGATTTTCGACTCAAAGGTAACGCTCATAGCATGATTGGACTATGATGTCCGGAAGACGAAATATAACTCCTGATACGAAGCCAACTTTCTTAACAAGTGCCCTAGTTCTGATAACTCCTGAATATGGTCTTCTGTAACAATAATTGTTGGAAATAGCCCTGCTAAGCTTTTTGGATATGCCCACCTTGGTATTAATGAATTTGAACTTGGTTTAGGGCGGATTATAGGCAACGCAGGTACTCAGGTTGAAAATTGATGTGAACTCTGTCTTATTTCGGGGGCCCGAAGGCCAAACTATATACTACGTAGGAAGTGACTGTATGCATAGGCAGAAGCACTAATTGGAGGCAGCAGTAGGCAGCATTAGGCAGGGTAGGCCACCGTACCCCAACCCCTCTCTGTAGAAGTTGTAACTGGCTAGGCATGTAGGCAGCTACTATGCCAGCAACTCCAAGTCTGTACGTAGGTGACCGTGAACCGTATGAGTTGTTGATCCTAGGTTGTAGCTGTTACAACCCGAGTCAGGTCGTGCGGCTTTACATTATTTGCAATCTTAGTTGCAATGAGGGCACTGAGGGCACAAAGACTGTATCAAAATACGAAGCACATCCTAATAGCCTCAATCGATTCCAGTCGTATCTAGCTATCTATTTTATTCACGCAGTGATGTGAGAAGCAACCCTGTATATATAGAATCTCATGATGCAAATTCAACGCCGTTGCGAAGTGTGCCGATTTTGTCAATGACCACCTCCATCTTTGTTCCTGGAACCAGATATTGTGGCGGATTCAATCCGGCACCAACCCCTGATGTATAGTTTTAGCTGGATTACTGCTCTCAAAAAGTTCGGAAAAGCTCACCTCCCGGGGTTCCTGTCATGATGATGCTTCCTTTCTTCAAGGTGGTACCCGAACTCAGGTACGATATGAGGTAGGCACAATCAAAGAGCAGATCAGCCACATACTCTTCTTGTCTTGTATCCCCATTGACAATCGTCTTCAGCAACAATTTGCTCGGGTCGCCGATGAGCTCGGCATTGACCAGACATGGGCCAATGGGCGCAAATGTGTCGAAGCCTTTCGAGAATCCCCATTGAGGGATACGTCCTGCAAACGCAGGATCACGTTGCAGCTTACGCGAAGAAATGTCGTTGCCACAGGTGTAGGCGGCAACGTAATCTAGCGCGTCTTCTTTTGAGACGTTTTTGGCATCTTTGCCAATGACTATTGTCTAAAGTGTAAATAGGTCAGCGGGAGCATAACCTGCCCTAGAAGAACTCTACTACGTACTAGTTCACCTTCGTAATCCGCTTGATCATCTTGGGCAATCTTTGGCACAACCACGTTGGCACCATGGTCCAAAATGCATGTCGTGGGCTTGAAGAATATGAACGGGAAAGGGGGCGGGCTTCGGCCGGCTTCCTTGACTAAAGATTGCGAGGCCCCCATTAGCATTGAATCACGTAGCGAGAAACTTCCGAGATGATGGTTGTATTTCGGTACACGATCTCTGATGAAATTCTAGTGCACGACATACTGTGCTTCGCGTAATTCAATCCTATACAACGCAGGATGTCCACATCATCCTGCGCAAGCGGGCCTAATAGCTGCTTCACGGTGACAACTTCGTCTGTCACCCTTGTACGCCCAGTCGTGTCATAGGGATCCGAGCCGGTGATGACTTTTGCTTGGAGTTTGGTTTCTTCAGTGGTGTTGCCCAGGTCGAAGTCTGGCGACGGCAAAATCGGGTCTCCACGCAGAACGCGGCCGTCCGTGGCGACGAAGCGAATGAACCTTTCCCACACAACCTTCATAATTGACGATGAAACGAATGCAGGACGACTTTCACGATGTGGTGTGTGAGAAAGGCCCGCCCTTCGCCTCTCATGCTCTATTCCTAACTCCAAAGCCGGCTCACTGCCGAAGGCACGTCTTGCAAACACGGTTCGGAGCCAACGCACTCCTGGTCGGGGAGAGATCGGGGAGAGGACGGGGAGAGATCGGGAGGGGCTACCCTCGTCCTTCCCATTCGCTAGAACTAATTACGTAAGAGTAGAAGAATTCGCTAAGCCTAAAGAGAAGGACTACGAGTTACCTCGAACAACTTTACATTCCCAATATACTAGCGAATTAGCGGCGTGCCTCTCTAGGAAACAAGGCGTACCGCCAGGACGAGATGGAAACCTGCGATGTTTCTTTCTGCCCCCAACGTTTCTGCCTTGCGATCCCCGAAGTTGGGGTGGTCAGTAATTCCCGAGCTTTCCAGTGGATACTCTTTTCGAATCCCGCCTTCTCGACTGCCTTACGGCTGATTTGATTCTCAGCCTGACCCCCAGGAGCCCCATGGTCGATTCTGGAGGCTAGGTATGTAGCTAAGATATGTAGCCTCTCAGATTTGACTGCGCCACGGCACTTCTACCGTGTGAACTTATTCTGCCTTCTGCGTAACAATGCCGACACTGCTCGCATGTATCCCTCGATGAGTGCCCTCTACTGAGCCCAGGTTAGCTTCTTTGCATACATTTAGCATCCTTCAAAATGTCCCGTTCTGTTCACGTCCCTTTCGCTCGAAAGAGTGGGTCGAATGTCGAGATCCCGCATCAGCCTGGTGCCTCCTCGACCTCCCGATCTATCAAGGGCAAAATTGTCACAGACGGTGTCACAGCCGGCCAGTCTTCTACCGGAGAATTGCGGTTACCATCCGTACAAGCTAAATGTAGCAAATCGCCTCGACCTTTACATCCCAAGAAGTCTTTGGATCTCGCCAGAGCGACGAAGAATTCTTTTCAGGAAGATATTTCCTCTAGCGAAGAAGCCTCCTCTATCAGTCAGTCTTTTCGAAGTCCAGCACGCGATGGCAAAGTCTTCCCTGAAATTCCAACGGAGACTCACCGAAACCCCGACCTGCCTAATATCGGAACCCAGCATTACCGTGTACTTCGAGAACTACATTCTTTGTCGGCTAGCTACACGGTTTTCCGTGATCATGTTGATACTCCCAGTGGACTAGCGGATGAGACCTCGAGCCATTCAACACGAGGATGCCTCGATGGAATTCCAAGGAGCAAAACAAAGTCTGCTCCCCGTATTGTGGATCTTGACGAATCTTTAGGTCGCATCATGTCAGAAGAGGAATATGCGAATGCGCGCTCGCGACCCCAAGCAGAAGATGACCCGGACAGGGCATTGGCGATGCAGCTAGCCGATGAGGAAAACCACCGGACACGTAGAATGGATGCGGCCTCACACACTAGGGGCTGTGCAGTTTGTGGAGAAACTCATCTTATAAGTGAGCTTCCGTCTCTTACAAATCGTAATCATCTCCCACAAGTGTGTAGCGATTGCTACCATGGCTGGCTTGAGTCAGAATTGAATTTAAAAAGCCAGAAGGAAATAAAATGTCCTGAAATGGGTTGCAAAGAGCTTCCGAATCACGCGGAGATGCAGCAATATGCCTCACCGGAAAGCTTTGCACGATTCGATGCCCTCTCAGTCCGTGATGCGCTGACCGACGATCCTAACTTCCGATGGTGTCGCAATCCTAATTGCGACTCGGGCCAAATATTTGAACCCGACCACTCTAGTCATATATTTTGGTGCATAGCTTGTGGCTTTGAATCCTGCAATTTCCTTGGGGAAGGCGTACACGAAGGGGAGACTTGTAAAGAATTTGATCTCAGAACTAGGATGGGGAATAGGACGTCCCAAAATGCACCACCACATGAGCGGGCTGCCGCGATTGCTCAAGCTGCAAAGAAATGCCCCGGGAAAATTGCCGCTGGAGTATTGAAAAGCTTGAAGGCGACGATCATATAACTTGTAAGCCCATCATGCCTCCCTGTGTATACATAAGGTCAAGCAGAATGCTGACGCAGGACGGTATCTTCAAATTTAGGCTCAAAGTGCAGGCATGAGTTTTGTTGGAATTGTCTCGCCAGCTATCAAGCCATCCGGGATAAAGGCAGCTCAGAACATGCCACAACTTGCGTCCACCACTCAAACCAGCGGCATGTTATTGAGAATGACGAAGTCACAAATCGGAAAGCTCAGGCAGAAGCTGGAACCAAAGATACAGCCAATAAAGCTACAAAAACCGCTGTAGAAATTCAAGCAGAGAGACTAACAGAGAACAATCACTATGAAGCAGATTCGAAGGAGCTGTGGGTTTACGATTCGAACTTTCGAGACAACGATTCCGTCTCGTCTTACCGTGGAAGTCAAGGTTTCTCCTCGTCTGCATTGTCATCCGCTACTTCTTTCGGACTTCACCTCCCGGCACTTACTGACCAATTCGTAAGCGTGGTCTTGGAAGACGCCGGTATGAAGTCACTGCTCTCCAGCGGGTTTGATTTAATGAGCAGAGATCGATTTGAGCGAAATATACGCCGTCTACTAAGGCGATATGCCCTCAATCTTCTCAAATCAGCATCAAACGAGATCCAGACTGGAGCTGCGAAGTACATCAGAAACCAGAGTCGCCTGATAGCTAATCGTATTCTATACACGTTCATACACCCGGAGTATACGAATTTCAGCACCATAGATGAACTACCTATGTTGAGCGGTGTTCAGAAATCCGAGCACTTCCTCGAGCAAGCAGTGCCAATCGAGGACATGGAGGATCCTAGCTAACCTTCCAGGAAGCAGGCCTCGGACGGGTATTCGTCTGAGTCTAGTAATTCTAATGATGACACTCACCAATCAGTCCAACTGAACCTCGACATTCAGCCTCTCAAACAAGTTTTGATATACAGCGATCAATTCGAAAAGCTGAGGGACTCCGTAATTCCGATACAGCTAGCAACCGAGGAACTGATGGATTTGAGCTTCCCTGCGTCTCAAAGCGCCATAGATGTGAGAATGACCCTTGTTCTATGCCGAAGCTACTCGCATCTGTGCGTCCGAAATTCTATCATATTCTAATTTCACGAAAGTGCGTCCACTGTACGCAACAGGGACATCGGTGCCATGGTTTTCTTACGACAGGGGTACTATACGAGGCCCTAAAGACCGCCGACGCCTTCATTAGCTCATGCCCGATGCAGAATTATCTCCATTATCGTTGCAGAGCCCTAATTTGCCAATTTGTGTTTATTTCGACTTTCTCTGCGCCCGATCCGAGTCTGGAGCTGACAAATTATAGGTCGTCGATCTCCACTTTCGGATGAAATCAGTGAAAGCCTCATCGCGCATATCTTGGCATTACGCAGTTGTAGCAATCAAACAAATCTCGAAATGGATCTCATTTTCCAACTGATCAAAGCTATAGAGCAGGAAGTGGAGAAGGAGTCCATCAGAATTCTACAAGAGCGCTACCAGCATCCGGATTTCGTGAATCGAACGACGAAGTCTGTATCAAAGACGCCAGCCAGCGGCCATATGGCAAGATTATTTGAGCTGCAGACAGATATTCGAAAGGTGGTATGGCAGCAGCGTATAGTAATGAATGAAGAGCCGCCTTCAATCAATCATTCTCATAACGCCCACCATGAAAGCAAACCCTCCGGCATCACATCAACTGAACCGCCATCTAAGAGACATCCTGTTGATACGTTGCGTGTACGATCAGGGTCGCAGCAAGCTTTTACAGTGCCCATTAGCTACTGGCAAACGATCATGAAAGGTTGGAGTAAGATAAGAAGACCGCGAGTGGCTGCGGGAATGAGGAGAATCGAGTGGACTTGCGTAAGTCAAACCTGAAAACTCCGTGAACGTTATTGAAGCTTAAGTGTCAGGACTGCGGCCATCAACTTCACGGTGACTTTAACTCGGATTCAAATGCTGTCAAGAGCTTAGAAACCGCTCTCTAAAATTGTGGCCCTGAACAACAAAATAGCACATCTCTCAAGTCCGACCCTAGCAACGCAGCCGGCACGTCAAATACTCCAACAACATCTACAAACGCGGCATCCGGTGGGACTCCAAATGGCCAGCTTCCTGCGAATTACCCATCAACTTGCCAAATACAGGAATCTGGGAATTCACTCGCGGAAGAAGCTGAAGCTGCCTTGCCGAGATATCTTGCAATCTGCGTCAACACTGGCGGCATTTACGTGACATTGCCCGAGATAGCTGTACCAAAGAGCACATCCGATGCCATTCTGTTTGATATGATGAAGGCATCGTACCAAAAGCTTCGTGGCTTCCGGATTCGCTTTGCGTTTCTTTTGAGACCTGTAGGCGTGGAATTCGTTCATGTAAGATCCCTTCAAGAAACAAAGCTCCTCAACGTAATGTTTCGATATATGGTTCTAACTGCTGATACTAGTTCTCTCTCTGGAACCTCCTCAAAGGGTACGTCTCGATCTGTGATCGACCTCGATGCGTCCCACCAGAGAGCCTCTCGGACTACGAGTTCATGCCCCGTCCGATCGTCCCGCTTCCGCCTATGCCGCCTGAAGTCTTCATTCACTATCTCCAACACGGTGATGGGGATCTAAATCCGATCCGTAGTATCTGGGCACCTCGCCTCCCGAAACGGCTGCACAGCCCCATCGTCAACGCTGGTATGCCAAGCTACGGATGGGGCATCCATATTATTGAAGGGACAAACCGGGAGCTTGTCTTCTGGATCATCATGTTCACAATCTTCGCCAGTATCCTTACGACTATACTCTGGTCTTCGCTCAAAGATGATGCCCAAGACGAGTCGGGTCTTGGATCGCTGATCGTTGCGCTGCCGTCCGTGCTATTAGGGGCGTGGCTTTTCAGGCTCGGCGCGGCATAGTCTTGTTGGATAGGGTAAACCTTAGAAATCCGCTCCAGGCATTGCAATAGTTCGGGATGCCTCTAACAATGTCCAGACGGTAGGGAGCGCGGATGTAGTAGCTAGATGATAGCCACGTCAGGCACATTACGTGTGAACTGCCGAACCGCAATTTGGAGCACCCCCGACACTACTTTCCGCATAGAAAGATTCCTCTACCGCGGTCTTCTGAAGTCGGCCACTAAGCCATTGAATGACATGACCCTGGAGTCGCGACCTGTCAAGCTCACGTGACGTCTGGACCATGCTAGTTCGCCAGGAACCAACAGCAAGACCGCATTTCGACAACTTACGTCTCTCACTCGTTTAGAGACACACGAAACTAGCCCTTTGAGTCTTGTCAACGTACTCTTGACCCACAAAGGGTATCCTATTCTTAGCCAAGACGACGCCTTGCTGTACCCGTGGAGACTGCCACACTGCTAAAAATAAGCGTATTCTGTCAGGTTAGCGCCAACGACTTCATTTGTGGGCCACCCGCCCCCTAGCCGCCCGACTTCGAGGCTGCGGCCCGTTCCTCTACCCTTTTGAGTTTAGGGGATCGACTAGCCTGCCCAGGGGGGCTCAGGCAGAAACTTTCAGCGTATCAGGTCAGCGCCTGCGACTTCATTTATGGGCCACCACCATACATACATAGCCACTCGGCTGCGGCCCGCTCCTCTACGCGTTTGAGTTAATGGGGGTCGACTCTTCACGCCTGGTGGTCTAGCGCTAAGGTGAGTCGATCCCAGTCTGCTTCTTTTCTGGTCTAATAGTTAATCGGCTTGGAAATTGATTGGCTAGTGGGTCTCCATTCCTGTTGCTACCTTAGACGCCAAGTTTGGCGCTTAATATTAGAGAATCACCACCAGGAGTGAAGAGAGGCTGTGGCGTCATGTGCAATACAGATATGGCAGACTCGTCCCCCTCAACTCTAGCTTCTCGACTTCTCCCGTCGCTCCTCCTTCAATCTGGCGCTCGCCAATATGAGGTCCATTGAACTAGGTAGTCGAGTCTCAACGCGCTCGACAGAAACCCTGGAAGACCCCTCGTCATCCTCTCTGCTACCAGACAGCGCCAGAAAACTTCCGCGATTTGACACTGCACTGAGCACGCAACGACTCTGCTTTATAGGGCTCGTCTTCTCGTATCTCCTCTCTCTAGGTCTCATCATCGGCGGAACGTTGCTACTTCATGTTTCCACCAACCAGCAATTACACGACGGCTTCCCGGGGAGCGACCCAATACTCCGTACTGGAAACATCTCTAATGCCGTCCGCGAAACCCTCGCATTCATCTTCAATGCCTCCGTGACAGTAATCACAGAGTGCCTTGGATACATCCACGCCACGTCGCTCCGGTGGACTCTATATCACGAGGGTCGCCTACGCCGCAACTCCAACATCCGCCTGTTCACCAGCTCCCGCAACTCAACTCCCAACTCGTGGTACATGAACGCGGTCTGGGCCATCCTACTAGTGACCGCTCAGAGCTGCGCGTCGCAAGTGCTCGCGAAATACGGATACCGCACCAACAGCATCGGCGTCAACAGCCTCGCCGTCCTCCTCCTCGGCATATCCATCTTCCTCCTCTCCCTCCTCTCAACCTGGTCCCTCCACCCCACCCACCGCACCCAAATCATATCCTGGAGCTCTGACCTCCTCAATGCCGCCCTCGCCCTCCGCCACACCACGCCCCACAGCCCCGCAACCTACGACCTCTCTGCCAGCCTTCCCAAGCGCCGCCAGCCCTCCGCCCGCACCACCAGCCGCAGCGTCACCGCTACTGTCATCTTCCTCTGGTTTGTCGCGATCGGGTGCGCCGGCGGCTCCATAATATGGTACAAGCACGACCAGGACTACCCCGACAGCATCAACGGCGACACCGCGCCCATACAGCTAATCAACCACGCCGACAGCTTCGGCGCCAATCTCGCCGTCACGGCCGTCAACATCCTCTTCCTCGCCGGCGTGCAGATCGTGTACGCGCTCGCACTGCACTCGGCCGAGCAGCTCGTCAACCTCTCGCGCGACGAGGCGGCGTGGCGGCGCGCAGGCTCTGAGAAAGGCGCGGTTGTCGGCGGCAGCTCGCTGGCCGGAGTTGCGAAGTCGTGGGAGGCGCTGCTGCTGCTGGCGATGAAGCCGCTGAGCCATTGGGTGTTCGGGCTGACGGTGTCGATTGATATCGGCCATTTTGTGGAGTATTCGCTGCACCCGTTTGTGGGGCTCGCGGCCATGGCGGCGGTGTTGGCTTTGTTTGGGACGTTTTTGGCGTATAAGAGGCCGAGGGGGCCGCAGCCGGCGTTGTATGGGGATTTGAGGGGGTTGGGGCAGCTGGTGGATGAGTGGGGGGAGGGAGCGGATGGGAGGATTTATTGGGGTGATAAGGGGGATATTGGGGGGCAGGGTGGGATGAGGCTGGCGGGCACGTCGCCGTTCCCCGGGAGTGTGATACCGATCAGGTTTGATGGGAGAGAGTATCGGGGGTTGGTGCCGGATATGGAGCTACGAGAGCGGCGGGGTTTTTCTTTTTCGAGGAGTTGTTCGAGAATATTTGAGAGGGGGTTTCCTTGGAAGGGGAAAGGGAAGGGTGAGGGAGAGGGGTTAACGTGAGGATTTGAATGGTTCTATACTCACGAAGAAATGTTGCACCATAGAATCTTTGGGTTCGAATGTGTCTATTGTTGTTCGGCTGTGAAGTACGGAGTCAAGATAAAGACTCCACGTTTGAGGGAATTATCCGGACTAGACAACATCTCACAGAATACTCCTTTTTGGTATGAGGTATCGAAAGACCGACTGACCAACTCATAGCTCAAATTAACAAGCTCGCGTTGTTCTCCGAATACTGTTCCTAGGTATGTGATCAGATTCGTCGAAATAGGAGACTACTTACTCTATTTCAAAGCGCACCCAAGCTTCTAGAGAGGATCCTTGATAGGCGTAATGTAGGTGTTGCGACGGAGCATGCATCCGACGTCAGCGTCCACGGGGTCGTGTTCGCCGATTGAGCAGATTAAGACATGAATTCCTCACCCAGCTTTCGCTCCTGCTATTCCTGCCGCTCCTGTGCCGTCCATGTTGGCCATTCCTCCCACCCCTTCCATTTATCTTTTAGCTTTGTGTCGTGCTCTTTGCCTTGAGCTCTGGATTTGGGGTTGAGGATCTCGTCTTGATACCTGTCCCAAAAGTCGGAGAACTTCAAGGCTATTGGCCCTGATTTGCAGGACAACAATTCCATAGCGATCTTGACATCAAGGAACATTTTGACGGTTTGCGACCGAATATGCGAGTCTAGCTCCGAAGTCAAGCATTTAATGTTAGAGGGGAACTTCTTTATGACGTGCTCAGCATAGACTTAGTTGTACACAGCCTGAGCGGGGAGCAAGTCAACTCTGTTGAGCTTAAGCGCATAGTGAGTGCAGAAGTGTAGTTGGCAGTAGATGTCACTATAGCGCCGCTTATTCGCGTAACGGGCAAAGTTGCCGATCCCGAAAGTAGACTTCGCAACAAACGACTCGAACGGAGTTCTACCCGAAGAATCTTGCATTATGGGGTCCGCACCCGCTTCTATTAAGACCGATGCGTATGGTAGGACTTTAATATAGTTGTGCCAGGGTTTGTCGTTTTCCATGACATGATAAAGCGCAGTTTTTCCTCGGTTACTTTGGACGTTCAAGTTTTCGCAGAGAGAGGTGAGAAGTTTAAAGCCTTGCGAATGCATCCGACAGTAAAAGTAGTCCATAGAAACGACAGCTTTATAAATCGGATACTCGTTGTCGGGATAAGGTATGTTGGGGTTGGCGCCGTGTTGTAGAAGTAACTCTGCAATCACTTGTCTCATTTGTCGCTGGACTGAATCTTCTCGGTTGGATGGCACGAGGATTCGATTAAATGGACTGATAGAATCGCTCGCTCCTCCATCGTTCGAATCCATCCCGGCCTCGAGTAGGGTCTTGACCATAGGAAGGTGATAATTATCCACGGCGTGGCACAGAATATTCCCGGCGCCGGAAGTCCAACTAAGATTCACCCCATGTCTGATCAAAAGCTTAAGGAACTTCGGCGATTGAGCTCTGAACAAATGAGGGTAGGCATAGCTGGAACGGATCGTATCCAAACATCGTATGGCCACGCTATTCTGGAGTTTGACAAGCCCATTAGATTAGCTCCCAGCTGAAGCAGCAACGTAGCCTAATACACACTAGTTTATTTCTTAGAGTGTGTGAAATTGAAAGACGTACAGCTTTGATCTCAGGTTTTCCCACTTCCTGCAGATTATACCACATGCGATTTCCGATCCAAGCGCGCGGATCATGGTCGACGTGCATACCAAAATGGTCCAACCACTTCCCTAGCAAGTCTGTCATTTGGCTGCTCTTTAAATTCCGGTCTTTGCCTAGTCGTTGTGCGTATTGCAATAGTATGGGAAGAGTTCTAGTGCTTGGTTGAATAGATGGTACCATGGATTTCATGAACCAATCAATGGCTGGCCAATGTCCATTCTCCGACTTGCCGTTGGCATTGTGATATAGTAGGTATTGAATGAGACAATGGTCTCGCTCGAAATATTGCCCATCTCAGAGAGGGATATCGCTCGCAATCGCAGTTCTCGTCGCTCAGCCGATGGTCAATCTCATCGTTATCTATCCCGAACTGCGCGCTTGTGCAACTCGGGTTGCAAGAACACATGAATGTTGGAGTGAGTCCGAAGGAGGTTGTTGAGGTCGGACTCTGCAGCCATTGCGACATCTCCAATAGGATCTCGTTGGGAGCCGTGTGCAGCGCCATCGTTGGGAACACGCTTGCCGGGTGAATACCAGTGGTGCCGACAGGAAACGAACACAATCTTAGTAGTTTGGCTGTTGTTAGTTTCGAATCGTCAAGTGAGTCTTTATCAACCTCTGCCGAGAGCGACACTGGCGTGGAGCTGAAATTGGTGCACGGTGGGTGAGCCAATGCGCGACTTAGACAGCAAAGAAACGCTGAGTCGCCGTCAGAGGCTTATTAAGGTTAGTTCAAGGGCGTTACAGAGCCATGTAGGAAACAAACCCTCATGAGAGTGGTATGTTGGATGAAGAGGTAAGTGAGAAGGAGATGCGTTGAGGTAACTAGATGCGTAGCATGCTGACTCATCCGAGCTAGATCTAAATCAGACTAGCCTTCATCCACGCGCTGTATCAAAATCGGCCACTACCAGTACGAAGGTAGGCCACAGGTTTCATTTCATCTGATGCTCGTTCATGTGAGGCTAAGCTGCCCGAATTAGCAGCTCACTAGAGTACCTTAGGTAATCCTTTGTGTATGCCTTATTTTTAGTGGTCATTTTACTCTGATCTAGCAGGCTCTCCTTGTTCCTGTGTCCTCAATTGCGTCCGTTATCATCGCAACACCAATGAAAAGACTCCACGCTTCAGTAGTGGCATGCTCGTACCAAGGCTATTCAAGCTTTCTCTACGCGGCACGCTCCATAGATCAGGAGGTGCTAGACCCCTAGCTTCTTTCTACGGACGCTCCCGCAGCCCAGAGATGTTGATTTCCCGACCACTCCTCCTTCAGCCACGGCCCATCCCGCCACCACACCTGCCACTCTCGAGCCGAAAAAGCTAGTCAATGTGCCCTCTCATGTTCCCATTCCCTGTAATCGGGCCATGAAATTGCACTCGTACTCGCATTCTCAGGAGAATTCAAGATCTCGTCTCTATGCTTTTCCCAAAAGGCACGGAACTTTAGCCCCATCGGTCCTCCCTTCCATGGAAATGACTCGAGGGCGTCCATGATGTCAAGGAAAATTTTCACCGTCGACGAATGGATGGTTTTCCATGGACGGCGAGCCTGAGGCCAGCTGTATTGTTCAGGATACTTCCCTAGAACATGCTCCGCATATGTCTGCTCGTATACGATCCGAGCGGGGATCAGATCTGGTTTGTTGAGCTTACATGCGTAGTAAGTCATGAAATGGAGACGAGATTGATCACGTTGGCGACAAGTACCCCTCGATGCGATGGGCAATCCTCCGCAACCACACTCGGCTCTTGCAATACCTGTTACGCCGCAATATCGATGGAAGGTTGGCAAATGGATATTGGCCCGCTATCGAATGGGTGAGGAAATGTGGTCACCTCGGCCGGGGCCTTGACAGTGTCCTCATCCTTTTGCAGTATGCGCAACAGTTGGGAGAGAACCGCAACATCCTCGGGAGCCAGTTGACAGAGCTTTTGAGAGCCTATCTAGACCATCTCATGGATGGAAATTACGACCTGTACTGGAATTCAGAAAGCCCCTGTAGCTGGGTACAGCTTAATCAAAACTATATCAAGGTGGTATGTCACCGAATAGCTTCGCGATCTCCAAGAGTCGACCGCTAATGAGTTACAGGTCGAACTGATCCTTCAATTGGGGGCAGATCCTATGGGACTGTCAGATACAGTGTCCCACCCATCAGCTGCTTTTTTGTCCTCAGCAATACCTAACTTTTCCCGAGTCGATTCACCGGAGATCCTTGCAATATTCATCAAACACGGGGCAGGTCTGAACTGGTCCTCTCCAGCCACTGGAAACGTCCTCCATGTTGCGGTGCTATGCCTCCGCCTTTCCACGGTTGAGGCGCTTCTAAGAGCTGGCATGGATCCCAACGTTGGCGGAACGGGGAACGCGTTTAACCCACTCGACCGGGCGCTCACTTTTCTGTACTGGTTAAGTGACCATGACGAAGAGGACACACGAGCCATGATCGCAGAGCTGCTTCTTAGACACGGCGCCGACCCCAACACACCGGGCCCCAACAGCGAATACCCAATCCACAAAGCAGTCGCCGAACACCTGCAGCCAATGAACAAGGTGTACTTTAAGTCTCTGGTGTCCCGCTGCATCAACGTCAACGTGCAGAACAGCCAAGGCAAAACTGCGCTTCACATCGTCATGGGGCAACACGACGAAACGAACTCCTCGGGCGAAGACAACTCTCTCTGGTGTGCGAGGATCTTGATGGACGTTGGCGCAGACCCGTGCTTGCCCGACTCGTCTGGACGGACTCCTTTCCAGTACGCTCTTGGGACATCTACCTTCGGCGTCGGCAACTGTACGGGCTCTATGCAACACATCTACGACCTGTGCCGTTGTAGTGACCAGAATCCTGGCAACACTCCAGCCTGTCCATTACAGCACGCTGGTGCAGCTCAGGTTGTAGGAACTCGTAGATATTCCGATGCGCTTGGGCAAGACTGTTGAGGTCGGAGTCCTTGAGCCACTGAGAAATCTCCAAGAGAATCTCGTTGGGAACCGTGTGGAGCGCCATGATGGACCACCGACTCTCCTCGCGGATGCGAGCTTTGAAGGTGGAGGAATTTATCGAGGTTGTTGAAGGTGAAGTAGGTGAAGAGGTTGATCGTGAGGGCCCGCCTGCTATAGAGAGTCTTACCCTTCGGATCATCGTGAGTCCGCCACCGGCTTAATCTTACTCAAAGAAGTACAGCAGCTGGGCAGCTCTCGAACTCTTAATTTCTTTCAACCGTTTTCTCCCCTCTTCGGCTAATGCTAACGTATATGCTTACGGCCTAAGGGGTTCCTAAGAAAGCTTTCAGCGATATAGTAAGCTCTACCGCTAAAGCATATACTACCAGAGAAAACGATGTCATACCTGCACTTCTTATAGTCAAACCTAATAGCTATTGTCCTATCGTTTCCATCGCCCATCATGTTTGCCATACCACGCGACCCCAACTTTCTCCGGACCTACCCTCCCGCCTCACCCCTCACCCAAACCACCGACACTCCAACCTACCTCTTTCCCTTCTTCGAGCCCAACCCGGCCCTCCGCCCTTTCCCATCCCTAATCTCAACACTCCAACCTACCTCTTCCCCCCTTCCTGCCAATGCCACGGCCAACTCCCCCAAGAGCTGTTGCGTTTTGGGCGTTAGCAAATAAAGTAGACCACGTGACCGACGTGCCAAGATCTAGATATCGCATTCATAGCAAAGCAAGGTGCCGTTCCTACCACGTACTTGTCAGCTATCACTACATGCCTCCCATTCAGGGCCTCCCTGTTGACTGGATCATCCGAGATGACACCTCCGAGGCCCACTGTATTCTTGGGAGCCTTTTCATATAAAAAATCATTGCGTTACATGACAGAGTTATGGAGAAAGAATGAAGAGACATGACTGAATAGATCGATATATGGCCAATGCCGAAAGTAGCGAAGATTGGGAAATTGATTCGGAAATGAGGTCGGGGTCGGTAGGGATGTGACCGAAGCCAGAAATTTGAATTATTGAGATATGTACAGTCGAAAGTAACTTTTCCGCTATGCTTCTTCGGTCGTTTGATGCCGTAGTGACGGCCGTCTAATGCAGGTAAGGTAGCGACCGGTTCGTCATCTGATGCTAATTCCGCTTCAATTAAAAGGATTAGAAGGACTCCCCACCACCAACAGGTACGTAGTATTGTATCGTCGGCCGTGACACGAGACTCCGGGCCTCCCGAGAGTCCTTCGTGATACACCGAGCTGTACACAAAAGCATCACCCCGAGTAGAGCATCTATTTGCTCTTGGGTTGCCAGCTGCCGTCCTCGATCTCATACTCGTCGGGGCTGAATCCCGGTGCGACTGGGACGTGTTAGTCACAAAGATTGAACCCTGAGAAGTCAAAAACAGCATACCTGTCGTGCCAATAAGCGTCCACTCGCCCAGGCTCTTGCAGTGCTGCCACTGCCAGTGGTCAATGGCGATCTGCGGCGCCTGGCTATGGAAAATGTCGGGGCCAAGCGTCTTCTCCACAGTCTTGGTGCCGTTGTTGTATGAAAGCTCGAGCGCCAGCGGGGCTCCGGCGTAGTAGTGCCAGACCTCGACGGCATCGATGCGGTGCCAGTACGACCAGCCAACTTTGCCCTCAATGAGGTAGTAGATGGCCGTGCTGGCGGAGCGGGTGGCGTTGAACTGGAGGGTGTCCTCGAAGGTTTGGGCGTAGTAGCCCTTCTCTGGGTTGGAGACCAGACCGAGCTTGTCGATCACATCGGCGGCAGTGTAGTGCTCTGGGTTTCCGCCGTAGCCCACGGGAACACCCCTTCCGGTCAGGGCATGATCCTCGCTGTTGGCTGCTGGGGCGGCCTTGATAGCGGGAGCGACTGCTGCCAAAGCCAACAGGGCCGTGAGGCGTGCGAGCAGGGGCAGGTGAAACATAGCTGCTACGCCAGGGAGGGATATATTGGACGATCTGGGGGCTGCTGGGCGTGGGAAAAAGCACAATTGGGCAGCTTTGACGCGGTGCAGGTGAGAGCAGCAAACAAGGTGGTGTCGCGACCGGACTGCTGGGGCGCGCGAGGTGCTATTTGAGAGGGCGGCAGCAGCTCATTTGCGGTGGCTGGGCCCGGGGAGGCGGGCTCAGTTTGCCTAACGGGAAGCGATTGCTCCATGAGGCTGTCGTATGGCGCAAGCGGCGGCCTGCATGCATCGCGCCGGCATCCACGGCTCACTCAGCGCCACTCGTTGTTGCACGACATGGCACAAGATAGCAGTGCATTGAAGGGCTATCCTCTGCACCACATCCCGCACGACGACTGTGAGACTGTTTCCCAGGGTGCCAGGCTCCTCAATGTTGGTTCAATGTCGGTGCTGTCACAGCACGATGAAGGCTGTGACGACGCCTGGACTCGGCAACCAGACAAATGGAACGATTCGCGATTCATGATGCTTGCGCACTCGAAAAGGGAGCCCTGCGCTTCCCCCACGCCGATTCCGTCTCGCCGCCGGATCCTCGCTCTCGCAGGAGGCCTCGCCACAGGGCTCCACCGACAGAAGCATAAAGTCGTCTCGAACTGACTGCTCGACCCCCAGTGCCCCCTCGCGGAGATGCCCGGCGGCTGCCAGCAAATCAGGGCCCGCGTCCCATCCAGGGGGTTTGCCGTGAAGGTTATACAAGGGGTTGTAGCGGGAACTGCCCAGGCCGTGGCGGCTGGAACCAATCACGGGCCGCCGTCGAGAGCGGACCGCGTGCGCCCAAGGGCCCCAGAGGGCAAGCGGCAAGCGGCAAGCGGCAAGCCTGGGTGCACCCGCGCACCCACCACCCTGGCATTGCCCTCGGCAAAGCTGGCCTCCCAGGCACAGCGAGCCCAGATAACAGAGCTGCCCAACGCGGCCCCGATCAGCGCTCCCAACCCAAAATGCCGCACCCCAGCCGCTGCTCTCCTCGTCTGCACCAGCACTGTCAGTGATCGCTCACCGATCGAACCCTGGGCGCATCTAGCGTGTGCAACGACGACTTCACATAACTTGTGCTGCGCTGCTGCGTCCTGTCCACTGTCCACTCTCATCCCACCCACCGCGCGTGGAGACGCTCTCCGCTCTCCGCTCTCCGCTCTCCGCTCTCCGCTCTCCGCTCTCCGCTCTCCGCTCCCCGACACCAAGACATTCCCCGCACTGCAACACCATGGGCGTCGCCGAAGATCTCAAGGCTGACCTGCCTGTCGCCATGACCATGGCCGCCTTCATGGGCGTGGCCTGGTACCTGTGCGTCGAGCTCAACATCCGGCTGTGGTTCGCCTTTCTGCGCAAGCGGGGCCTCTACTTCTGGGCGTGCTGCGTGGCCTCGTGGGGCGTCTTGACGCAGCCGCTGTTCATGGTACATCCACTTTTCTTCACGTTTCCGCCGCATTCGGACAGCCCTCGAAGGCTGTACACACGTCGACAGGCGCCGAGCTCACCAATCACTAGGTTCTCGTCGACTTCGACCAAGTCACCAATCCCTACGCCGGATTGACCCTCATTTACATCAGCTGGTTCATCATGGTCATCCCGCAGTCCGTCGTCCTCTACTCGCGGCTGCACCTTGTAATCGCCAACCCGGACCTCCACCGATACGTTCTCTACATGATCTGCTTCACCACCATCTGCATCGCCCCACCCACAATGGGCCTCGGTATCGCCTCGCAAGGCTCCGGCGACCCCCGCCTCATGGCCGCCAACAAAGTCTGGGACAAGGTCCAGGTCACCATCTTCTTCGTGCAGGAAACCATCATTTCCATCCTATACATCATTGAAACCCGGCGCGTGCTGGAGAACCGCGCAACGCTCGGCGAGACGGACAAGTCCGTGCGCAACGTCATGCACCACCTCATCTACACCAACATCCTCGTCGTGTGCCTCGACATCGCGCTGCTGGGACTCTCCTACTCGCATTTCTTCTACGTGCAGTCCGCCTTCAAGCCGTGTGTGTACGGCGTGAAGCTGCGCGTCGAATTCTCCATCCTCAATCGCCTCGTGCAGTCCGTGCGCGGGGGCAGCTCATACAATTCGCACTCGCGGTCCGCCAAGGATAATGGCGGAAGCAAGAAGGAGGGGGAGAGCCGGTGGAGGTCGACGCCCCGACACGACGTCAGGCTGGAGACGTACTCCAACACGAGCGAGGTCAACATCGTTCCCCCGAGCGTCCACCGCAGCTCCTCCCCTACGAGCAGCCTCAAGCTGGAGCCGTACGGGAAGGACGGGATTTTGCAAACGACGCAGATATCGGTGACGCAGAACAAGCGCGATGATGAGGAGAAGAGGGTGTAAAACAGATGAACGAGTTGGCGATTGTTTTTTTTTTCTATGTTGCCAATCTTCCTAGGCTTAGCGTTACTGCAGCGCATCATACGAGGTGTTGGGAATTTTCTAGGTTGTTCCCCTGTGCGGAATAGAGAATAAGGACTAGGGAATATGGAGGAGTGTAGGATATTTCTTTTACATTTACGAGACCATGTACTTCCTCATAAGTTTGGCGGTTAGCGATTTTCTTATGATATCCAATACGCTACATATTCATTTTGTTCACACATCCTACACCCTCCAGATAGCCTTAGCTTTCTGATTGTGTTCCAATTCTAGCCATTGATTGAGCCCACGTGATAATTGCACACTCCCACCTCCATAAGTTCCATCATCCCCCCCAAATGACCTTCCAATTCTCTCCGGAGATCATCTCCTGAAAAGCCGCAGGGATTTTCCGATCTGCATACACGTCAGATGTTACCCAACGTGCGCCCACCCCTGCACTCTCGCGGCTAAAGGTTGCAAGGTTCCACTATTTATTCTCCCACCCAGATCCACTCTTCCTGGTACGCGATCGCCCCTGTGCCCTTAAAACACCACAATTCATGCATTTGCATTTTTGTTTTCTTGCTTTTTGGAGGCGGATAGGAGGGGGCGAAACGGAGACATGCGCAGCTGTGGCAGCTTGTGGGCTACTGCAAACCTGCCTCGAGGCGTGCTCCGATCGAAAACATGACCTTGTCGCCCATCGTACCTCTTCAAACCGCTATACCCTCACAATGGCAGAGTCGAGCTTCCGATCCGGAAGCATATTCAGCAATAACCCCTTTAGCCGATGTTGACGCTTCAACTCATCATAAGCATATTCCCCATACTTCGCCTGTCCGCATCCCCAGATCAGCACTACCCGCCAGCTGCTAAACAACACCGACAAACCACCGCCTACAATGTTACAAAGCTACCCGATAACCCACACAGAACCACTCGCTCTCGCACCTTTACAGTCCCAGCATTTCGTACTGTAGATTGCAGATCCGGCCGCCCCAAAGATCCATGCGGCACTACGATCCCAACGTGAACCGCTGAGTAAGCCGAATCCTCAATTGAGCCATCATCCATTCGGACGCGTCTCTTCGTTCGTGTCCATCATCGCGACTCCGTCGATGACCCATCAAGATTGAAGTAGTCCTAGACTTTTAGCACTCGGCAAAGTCTTGTTCACGCGTTTCTTTGCTTCAGGAAGCGCTAGACAGGAGCATCACGACCTGACCCTAGCCTTGCGGTGGGGCGAAGAGTTAAGAGGGGATGGAAATCCGCATCTCTGCATCTGGCATCACCTCAGTAGTTGCTGTTGAGGATCCGGTTGCTCGCTACCTCTTTGATTGGTGTGAGATGGTCGGTGCATAGTTGGCATAGCAAACTAGCTGAGTTGGGCAAATGACATGACAAGCGCTGCCATGTTTGTACCGTCCTCTATAAAGCCAAGGTAGTAGATCCATCTGCTTATATTGTATTCTTCAGTCATGGATTTTACTATATCGCAAAGATTCTCTTGCAACTCCCTCGGTACGTATATCAGCTTTACAAACGTCAAAAAAAATTTGAAAAAGCAGGAGAGAGACATCGGAGAAGTCAAGATTTCGAATGACAACACTTATTCAAATACGCCAGTGCAGTCAGATCGTGGATTCCCCTTAAACTCACCACGGAACTCAGAACATTGCCGTTGTGTGCATCCCCCTATACGGTCTGACTGTAGAGTCAAGCGGGTCTTAGATTTGAACAACTGTTGGCTTATCTTTCGTACCCGTACAGGTTCAAGGCATATTACTAACAAAAGTGTCGGGGATGGGATAGCTGGCACTGTACACAACTGTGTAGGAGGGACAGGACGATGGGAATGAGCCGAATGAGCGCCGGTGGATTGCAGAGGACGGCTTCGAGGACCATATCCTGCATACGCGCTATGATAGCTTGCATATGCGATATGATAGGAATCATCAAAGTCCGCCGCATCGCTGTGGCAGTCCACCTTGGCTAGATGTGGTCACAGCAGCAAAAACCGGGAAAGTCTCACCTGACCCCTCAGAGCGGTGGTAGGGTATCAACCATGCCCAAGACAACAAGTCAGAGCCACGCTGGTGAATGTTCACAATCCAAGGGAGCTAGAAGGGTGCGGACTTAAATCATCAACACCCGTTGCTGGGCTTAAGCCGTTCACTAGAAACATCGCCTATAAAAACCTTCTCGAAGAAAGGAACCACTTCCACGAAAACATCCCCTTCCCAATCACACCCTCTCCACCGACACCACCACCAACACTGCCAACAAAATCTCTACAAAAATCTGCCTTCGATACTCTTTACTTTGGAAAATCCGCGCCTCAACGACGTCGCTACCCACGCTTCCAAACGAGTTGCTTTTACAGATCTCGCGATGGCTTCCAGACAACGAACTCAACAAGCTCGCCCGAGCTCACCGGATGATCTATATCTTCCTAAAGGTTGAACTGCACAAGCGTGCTCTGCGGGATAGGTGTCCATGCGATCCAGATTCCGGGGACTACATAGGAGCGCACAAATGCCGAGACAGTGACCACGTCAGTGAATCACCCTTGCGGTGGGCTATAGTCCGGAAGCGCCCTCGGTTGGTGCAGTACCTTCTCCGCAATAAGATTGACGGCGGACTGGAGAGCGGATACTGGCCAGCACTCTATTGGTTGCTTGCGGAGATCGAAAAGCCTGAAAAGTACCCAACCGAGATCGCCATCTCGCTCTTGCAATACACACAATGATTGGGACAGCCACAGCCCATCCCTAAGAGTGATTTCACTGAGTTGTTGGAAGCTTGGTTGTGTCGGTATCGTGTGTCTGGTGAGCGGACGTACCAACTTAGGTGTAATCCCTACAAATGGACGTCAGATTTCAGGATAGGAAAGCCTGAGGTCGAAGTGGTATGTCACTCTGAAGATCTATAGGATTTCGAGCTATGATGGCTAATGTTGTGCAGGTCAAGCTGTTGTTCCAACTCGGAGTCCACCCCATGGACCTCTCAGAGTCGGGCGTGCATTGGCCGAACGGCGAACCTGTGACACCTCCCTTGCCTCATTTGTTCAGGATACAGGCTCAACCATTCCTTAGGACATTCATCAAGCAAGGAACGGATCTTGATTGGACCACGTCAGAAGGAGAAAACGTACTCCACTTCGCAGTGAAAACGATGCAATACGCAATGGTGAAGGCACTCTTACAGCTGGGGGTGGATCCTAACGTTGGCGGAAGCAGCGATGCCTTCCACCCGCTGCATCGAGCTATCACGTTCGTGGACGGAGATTATCATGTCGACAAACGAAGAATGATTGTGCAATTATTGCTCAATCACGGCACTAGCCCGAACGTGTGGTCCCCCAGCCACGAACATCCGCTTCATAGAATCATATCAGAATTCTACATGGACCATCACACGACGTTGAGCCCGAAGCACTTCACCACCCTCGCGTCTCGGTGCCAGGACGTCAACATCCGCAACGGCCAAGGAAAAACAGCACTCCACTTAGTCATGGAGCAACCCAAGCAGTACATCGACGACCAGAACTGTCTCTGGTGCGCAAAGATCCTGATGGACGCGGGAGCGGACCCATCACTACCAGACGCCACTGGCCAGACGCCCTTCCATTCCGGTATCCAAAAGTCCAAGTTCGGCGTCGGCGATTTTACCAATAGTCCTAACTTCCGAGCTCTCCAATGGCGTTGGGAAGACGCCTACTTCCGACTTCACCTTGCGACCTACTACGCAGTCAAGCTTGGTAGGGTGGACCTGATCCCCGCGCGCGTGGTATACGAGCAGGCGTACTCCTAACACGTCCTGAAGAAACTCCCGGATACCTCGAGCCGGCCGTTGGGATCACATATTCGAGCGCCGACTGTCAAGATTTTTCTCGATTATCATGTACGCTGTGGAGTCCTTTCCTTGGAAGGGAGGGTCAATGGCCGTGATGTTCCGAGCCTTCTGGAGAAAGCATCATAAGTAGGTCATCGTGGCTCCTTCCGAGGTCTTCGAAGGGGAATGGGATCGTCGCGTTTTGGAGGCGGCGTGGGTTGATTGGCCGTTATGGGGTGCAGATGAGTGGGCGAAATGGCGAGACAACCAGATATGGATGCAAAGTAGCCAACTGTAGCAAGGGCTCTGCCTAGCTACATTCATTCGGGCTTTCATTTTACTTGGATGTGTCTTGGGTCCTAAGATAGGAGTCAAGGGACGACGAATCTCTGCCAATGCGAGTCTCAAATCGCCAGCCGAGATTCGTAGCTGGTTCTCTCAGTATAGAATAAAAGAATATTCTATCTAGCCTATTGACGGAATCATTGCTGTGGCGGCCGTCATCCATGTTTGTCTCGTCATTTCGTATAAACTCAAGTGAGCAGCCGCATGCGAGATAATTTTATACTTTTAGTGACATTTCAAGAGGACAAACATTGAACGTAACACATTTCTTACAAGTGAATCACATTGCGTTGAAGGAACTGCGATAGTACGAAGAAGTTGTAGGAACTCGATATATTTATTGACCCATGGATTTGATTCATTTAGCTATCCCAAGAAAAGGGTCTTTTGGCAGCTGGCGTAGGAAGGGCAAAGGATCAGTGAGGAAAGCAT